TTTTTCTAATTTCCGAGAATGATACGGAGCATTATCCAGGACCACCACAGAATTGTCTTTAAGACGTGGTAAAATGCCTAAAAACCAGTTTTCGAATGCTTCACCATTCATCTCTTCGTGGTAGTCAGTGGTTTTTTTTTATTCAAAACACCATAGTCCTTCCTTCACGAATCCATCTACACTCCCGATGTGGCAAATAATGAGCCTTTTTCCTTTGCCTATAAAGATAAAACTTGTTAAATACGGATGTACATTATATGTCTTTCACAAGAGTACTGAGGCCACGGAGATAGGGACTCATTTCTGTATTTTATATACGATGCTATATTGTTTCTCATGATAGCGGGATGCATGCGGTGAGATATATCGGACACTTCAACCAATGCATCATTTAATCTGTTGATGAATCTGGTTAGCTTAAAAAACAAAAAGAAACAGGCAACATCAATTAAACTAAAAAATTATCAAGTGTGACAAACTTATCGAAAAATTTACAAATCAACGCAATGTCTGACGTTGTTAATTAACGTGTTACATTCCGTGACGGACGAGGTATGTTGTCTCTGCAACGCTCGCATTGCTGTAAAAAATCTTGTCATCGATACCATAAGAATTCCAACGTAGAATACATTGATTTCCAGAGTGAACATCCCCTCGTTTTTTCTAGATATCTGATAACGTGTAATGCCTCATTTAAATCACTTTGGCTATGAAAAATTATCTAATAACTATTGTTGGATTTTCTAAAATGGAATGTCTGCATTACCTGTAGGGTTTTTAAGCCCAGTTGAAAGCCCATCTAAAAACGCTGACGTTACTGTTTGGTCCACCCAAACTTTTGATTTTGTATGGCCAGCATTTATCCACGTCTCGTCCAGGAAGTAAATTCTACGGTTTTGGCTCCTGTATGTTTTTATTTTTGTCAAATACTCTCTCCTCCATAGTATAATTTCATCTCTATCCATCAATGAACTGTTTCGGCCTCTCTTCTGCCAATGAAGTTGAGTTCCTTAATAGCCTGTAGAACGTCGTTTTACTAAAATTCGGCAAATCTGAGTCTTCATTCACTACTTTCAAAATCTTATCAATTGTAGGAATTTCATTCTGGAAAAAGAATTCATGAAACTTCCTTCTGATCGCATGTCTGTCAGCATCATCTATTTCTTTAATTTGGCTTTTACGGTTCTGATTCGTTTTAGGTTCAGCAAATGCATTCCGTAATTTATATTCTTTGAGTACTCTAAATACCGATGCACGAGAAACTCCAACTTTATTCGCCACCCTCTGCACAACATCGTTGACGCTGAGCTCAGGTTTTTCCTCCGTTTCACATTTGTAAACATTTAAAATAATTTCTTTCACTTCGATGCTCAAACTGGTTTTGTCTTGATCGTTTCCTGGGTGGACTCAATGTAGTTCTCCCTTCATCAGCTGTGTCGGTAGAAGACATGGTCAAAAAACACCAGATATAACAGAACTTATAACAGCGATGCACTCGACGCCACGCCACGGCCTGATTACAACTCTGGTTTTTGTAGACATCAACGCGGCACAACGGCGGGTTTTGTATTGCTACAGTCTAACTAGGTCTTAAAAAATGTTCGAAACTGCATGTTTCCAAATTCATGGAGTTTTATATTGGAGGAGCCACTTCAGGACATTGTATTTAACAAAAGCATCAATATGAGGGGCGGACAGTTTAAAAAAAGAAAAATAAAAGCTACGAAATGAAACTATTAGTTGAAAAAGCAAGCGCTTCAAACTACAACTTCAAACCGTAAAATGCCTGAACTATAATGAAATCCTCTGCGGGAACATCGATCACGCGCTGATCACGCTTCGAGTTTGCGATGTTGTGGTCTCACTTGGGCCGAATTTTAGTATAGATAGAGCTTCTTAAAAAAAGAAGTTTGATATCATATAACGTATGGTTTCGATTGTCATTTGTTTAGATTTTTGGTCATACGTCTGCACAGCTGATCTGGAAAAAGTGCTGATATTTCTCCCTTTTTATACAGTGTATCTCATAACGCAAACTGTTCCTGTTCTCAAAAATTTCAAATGGAACACCCTGTATTTAAATAGGTTTTTTTGTGAGCTTTTTTTGTATTCAAAGTGTTTCAAATTGGGATCTCGGAAACTGTAAGAGATACGAAGTGGCTTCAATGGAGGCAAAGATGCGTGTTTAGGTCACTAACAAGGTGCCGCTTAGAAACCTATGAAATTTAAATTACTTCGGATAGAGACGGAAAAAACAGATTTTCCCAAAGTCGTTTTCATTTTTTCCTGACTTTATTTGTAATGGGATTCCAAAATAAATTCCACATTAACATTGCCACTTTTTCTCCTCTACAAGACGGCGTAACTGGAATTTCAATATGAAGTTTCGTCTCTTGTCCTCCAGCGTCAACTTTTTTTTCATGGACATATTGGATTTTTGCACTGATGAATAGAGTTTTCAAAACATGTATAATATGTCGTCCATTGACATTGCCAAACCTTATTTATTTCAAAAAGGATAATTTCCTAGGTAGACCTTGAAATTATCAGATAGTCGTTGTTTTGCATACTAGATTTATCCCAAAATCACTTTTTTTTGTTGAGTTTATTTGAGATGGGATTTAAAAATAAATTGCATGTTGTCATTGTTACTTCATCTCCTCTACAAAATCATGTAGTCAAATTTTCAATTCAACGTCTTTTTTGTCGACTTCCTCCAGCAACTTTGTTTTTTCATATGGACACTATATTGAAGATTGTACGTTATATTTAAACGAACTTTTCAGTCCTAAATCCAGTGGTGTATTTTTTTAGTTGGCCATGAATTTGTTGTTGGATGAAAATTATAAGGAAATAAAAAGATGTGGAGAAACCTGAACAACATGAAAATTTTATTGATAATCGTAACAATAATAATCATAAATAAGCAGAAGTAAATCATATCAGATGTTCATGTTTTAGAGGCAAAGCCTGACTCTTCTGTGTAGATTGTTCACTGCTCGATTTATTTTTCTTCTGTTCAGTATTCCAAATTCTGTTGCTATGTTCAATTTTATGTCTGGTGTGGTATTTGAAACAAATTGTGAAATTATGTTTTTCTGGAATAACCAGGGTTTAGAATTGTCAATGTATGACTTATTATACATTTTTGAAATCAGAATTAAAAACTATTAGAAAAAATAAAGGTTGATGCTGGAGGACGAAAAACTACACGTCTTAGAATTCTAATTTTGCCGCCTTGTAGGAGAAAACGTGGCAATGTTAATGTGCCATTTATTTTGAAATCCTACTACAATATTAAAGTCAGGGAAAAATTATAATTTTTTTTTTATAAAATTATTGGGAAAATTGTTTTTTCCGCCTCTTTTCGGAAGAACTTTGATCTTCGAAACTTTTTAAGCGGCATTTTGTTGACTATCTAAATACGCAACTTTGCTCCCATTTAAGCGACTTCGTATCTCTTGCAGTTTCCGAGATCCCAGTAGTGGGGGTCGAATTTGAAACACCCTGTATATTATACATACAACTTTTTTCCAAACGTTTTTGAGTTATTGCTGTTCATTTAAAGAAAAACCAAACACATGTTTGTATTTAAACAAGAAATCAAATCTATCAAAACAACAGCTTTTATTAACACAACGAGAATGATCTCAGCCTAAGGCAATTAATTGTTAGTCAATTATTCGAATATATTACTGTGGTACAAACCAAACATGGCCAGACGCTTGTTGAAATTATCTTGAACGTCTAAAAGGGTTTGTCTAACTATCCACTTAAACCACTCGCTAATACGATGTTTCATGTCCTAGGGTGTTGTAGGTTTCTCCTGGCGAACCTCTCCTTTTACATGATTGGCCACCTTAAATTAACAGTATTACAACTTTATAAGAATGACTGTCTTATGTTAAGATGACTCGTGTTATTCCATGAAAAAATTCATTGTTTTCATGGAAGATCTGATTTCGTATACATGTAGAATATTTTTGTCTTGGAATTAACAGCATTAACTCGAAAATTGCTCGAAAAAAGTGGCATAAGCCTTATATCAAAAAAAAGTTCCCAAAGAAAGCTATTTAATGATGTATAAATATACAGGGTGTACCGTTTGAAGTTTATGAGAAAAGGTACATTTTGCATTTTGAGATACATACCATTTACCAATATTTTAGCATATTTTCAGATCAGCTTAAAATCGATGGTAATAAAATTTTGGTGAAGTAAAATTTATATAAATATCTTCAAAAATGGCGGAACATCGAGCCGTCAAAGTTAGGCATTTCGTTAATTATGTAAACATACTGACAATCGAAACCATATGTTAGATATATTTCTTATTTTTAACACTATCCAACTATGCGTGCATAAAATAATAGAACATTTTATTAAAAAAGAAGTTATGGAACACCCTGTATATATTAAAATAATTTTGATATATTTTCCAGTTTGCTTATAAAAGTACTTTTCATTTTTGTTGGGACACCATGTATAGATCATTTTCCAACACGTGACTTTGACAGATCCTTCTGTTGGTCGGAGGAAAAACCATAACAGATTGCCATTTAGCTCAGTGTAAATTAGCTCTACTATTTTTTGCTTATATCTCTTAACTCTTATATCCAATTCAGCGGGTCAAACATTTCTCCAATGCATATACCGAGTAGCACATGCTCTAGGAAGGCTAATATTACTTTTTGGTTTAATGTCTACCGAAATCTATTGAAAAGTTTCGAACAAATCTACCGGAAACACGTCGTCTATACCAGGCAACAAGACATTGCAGGCTTGTGTTATCTGTGTCATACAGATGATTTCTTTAATTCAATTCGCTAATCATAAAGACAGGCAGGTTTAAACACCGGTTATAGAAACGGCAAAGTTTTCGGATCCATATGTATGTGAATGTGATATTTTTCTCATATTTTCCGCAGATTTATGCGACAGAGTTGCATCTCTCTAATCAATGTTCATATCACAGTTTTTAAACCTCTTTTTCTTTCCAGTGACTCCAGTAAACGTAGTTCCTAAAACAGTAACAAAAGACTTAACACCAAGACGTAGTTTGAATCTTCAAGATTACAAAAAGAAACGAGGTCTTATATAGTATTTATATAAGGAATTTCGCGAAGTGACGATATTGACATTGAATTTACTCAGAAATGTGAAAGTATTAAGAAACCTGACATTTTGAAATGTTGAAACTTTGGTATGTAGGTCTATGTACTTTAAGTGATTTATGTATATAATTTTTATTTTACGTATGTCCATTATAATATTATATTTTATCATATGTTTAAAAATAAACTTTTTAATTAGTTTACAGTAAAGTGTAAGTTTGTGAAAGGAAGTTAGCTTAAGCTAAGGTTGTAGATTGCAGACAAGGATGAAGTGGTAGGATGTTAGTTAATTTTTTCTTGATACGATGACAAAACGGGCTCATATTTTACGGACTGCAATTAACTTTGTGGAAAACTTTGTAAAAATGGTCTCAAGTCCGAATGGATAGTCGTTTCTTCACTAAAGGCTTCCTTATTTTAAGAACGCCTCGTTTATTTTGAGACATAGGATTGTGACAGTAAATATCTCTAGGACAAAAAATACATTGTTCAATATGAGACCTCTTTATTGCATAGTCTTTAACTTAAAGGCTTCCTTATTTTCAGGAAATTCAAGGGCATATCCATTTTAGCCATTGGTATAGAATTTCTAGGGGATATGCCATAACATCTTTGGTCATGCTGTCAGTCCGAAATTTTCATCGTACAAATCTCAAAATTGTATGCAATTATGTCTTGTAAAACATAACCGGGGTTTTCTGGAAATATCACTTTTTCATCATTTTTTGAGTGCTATTGCGAATCCTGGCGCATCCGTAGACGGCAACATCGCGTTTGACGTCTTGTGCTCTAATGATGCGCTGTAGGCGATCCGCTGTGGATATAGTTCACGACAGACTTATAGTGACTGTTTACATTTTTTCTGCTTCTTTCTGGTACCGACACGCGATTAGTATGGTCATAACACCATAAATAATGATGAAAGCTGCTTCATCTTCCGCCTGCCGTTTAGTTTCGTTTTATTTCTTAATATGCTCCTGGCATCAATGATTATGCGGCTTGTGACCAAATTTGATGAAATATTACGCGAAAAACAAGATATTCCTGAAACAATCTTCTTATGCAGATTTAACATACATCAATGTAAAATTCGCATATCAATGTAATCTCAAATTAATATGCTGTGTAATGCATAATGACAACATTCTTATCGCACACTCAACAATTTTGTCTCTCAACTCTTCTAAATTTTTTGGCCTACAAAACTCGTGGCTGTAAATGGTCTCTTAACATAACCCACAAGAAGCAGTCATGGAGACAAATCGAGGGATCTAGGCGGCCACCTAGGAAAAGTATTTGTTGAAAATTCTTTTACTCTAATCGCATTATGAACGGGTCAGCCGTCTTTTTGAAAGTGCACAAATCCTAACTCCACATCAGGAAGGGCTTGAACGGTAGGAACAATTTGGTTTCTAAGTAACTCTAGATATTGTTGTGCATCCAAATTTTCATTAATGAAAAATGGGCCTATGACATGGGCACCTAAAATATAATTTTTGAGGATACTGGGTACGGTGTTCAAAACATGTGTTCATTATCTCGAGGCCCATAGAGAACAATGGATGTATTGTGTTTACCATGCAATGGAAAAGAAGATTCATCAGTGAAGAGAATATTTTTTAGAAAATTATTATCCTGATCTGCTTTTTTGTACCCATATTTTTTCCAAATATTGGTAACAGTTTTATTACTGATATCCAGTTCCTCTCCACGTGTAAAATCCACTTCAGTAACACTACAAACCATTTCATCCCGCCGTTCTTTAGCTTGAAACCTTTCGACAGGCGGCATTTGCTTCATGTGGCATTGTTTGCAGTCTTGGAGGCAGAAAAATTTCTCAAAATTTGAAACATTTAAAATGTTTTTTTGGGCAAGGATTGGGTCTGTCCTCAAAAGTTACTGCAAATAAATCCCTACATTCTGTGGCCGAATTGCCACCGTAATACCATTTAATTATTTGTACTCTTTCGGAAGGGGTATAAACAGCCATAACAAATTGAAATTATTTAGAAAAACGAAAAGAACGCTTGTAGTTTCAGTAGCACCGCAGGCTGAACTCGGTCGGCGTCGGCGGTCAAGTGTGATCGCGTCACCTGAGAAGGAGACAGTGTTGCCGTTATTTAGCCTAATGCGTAATCCTTCATAACACAACCTATATAATTGCTTTGTAATGTAAAATAACGCATTGTTTCGATACCGATACAGCAACAAATTCACATAATTTGACTGAGATCAATGAAGCGGCTCGAGCCGCTAGACGCATCCTCCTTCCCGCATTTCCACAAGCTAGCAGGTGCCGCCTTCTCGGTTTTATGGCTTATTAACGACTGTAGACATAAAAACCGTAATCAGGCACTATAAGTATGTTGTGAACTATATCAAGAAGTTCCATTGGTTAGTTAGTATACGGAAAGGTCGCACCCCTACTTATTTTTCGAACGGATCAAGTTAGGGAACTGAAATTCGGGATGATAAAATTGACGTATGCTATGTTCTAATGCAAAAATATCAGTTGAAAATTTCAAGATGGCGGCTGGGCTCTTATCTTGTAAAATTGTTTTAAATGGAATGGAAGGGTTATTTGATATTTTATTTTAAAGCTCCTTTATAACCCTAGAATAAAAAATCACTATCTTTCAAAATAACGGAATTGTAGACTGACAAAGTTGAGTGTTTTTGTACATTGTACATTGAATCACAATTAGTCATCAAAACGTTATAGTTCGTTTTATTAATATCCTTCTTTTGGAAGAGTCTATTTGAATATGCAAATTTTTGTATGACACTCCTTTTAAACAAATTTGACATATTTTGACATTTTTTTTAATGGATTGTTTTATATTGTATTACACATTCACACATGCCCTTCCAAGAGAAGAAACTTGATATAACACATTTTTGACAGCCTGCCAGATCGTCATTTTGAAAGATAGTGATTGGAAAGAGGGATTCTGAATACTGATAATATTAATATGATACATGAGACTCTATATAGAGTGTTGGAATTGTCAAAACTCAGAAGCTAAAAAATGGCACATTTACATTGAAAACACTCCCTAACCTCTATCTTAAAAAGTGTTAATGATTGGATACTTTTTATATGCTCTGGTGGTTTGTTATACAACTGGTTTTCATAATTGTGGGACTTTTTGAAGTTAATGATAACATGTGAGCTACAGTAGTTGGCTAGAATGATGGTCTGTAATGCTGGGTAGTAGCAGATCCTCTTTGGAGCATCTAAAATTGCTCAGAAGGAGGGGTAACACATGACCCCTCAGTCTATAGTTGTCACGATTTTTGGCCGTTACGTCATCAACGCCATATGAAATAAGTAAACAGATCGAGTCTCCGTACCATGGGCGGAACACTGCAAAGACTAATTTTCAGCGCATCTGCTACTCTCTCCAGTACCCATGAAGTGGTAACAGGGGACGGCTGTTTTCATTCTCTTCCTGGAAATACTCTAATAAATTTAGCACGAGCTGTCGGTCTCCTCCATTGATCGTATTTCCGGGCATTGTACAATTTTATATTGAAGATTGATGACAGGACAACTCAAATGCCTATGTCAAGTTGTCACTCTGGCAAATATGATTAAAGGGCACTCATACGTAACGACAAAGTTTTCGAGACGGAGACACACAACTAAAAAACATGTCTTTGAGCTTACCGAACAAACGTCCACACACAGGGGGGGGGAGGTTGCATGTGTATGTATGAGGTAGATGGAGATATATAAAGGGATACAGGCAGTCTTACTTTGACCCGTCAAGAACGGTTAATACAACTATATTTAAAATAATATTCCTAAATAGCGCCTATCAGCAGTCTTGGAATTTTCAATTGTCACTTTTATGCTAAAACATGGAATTCATGCATCAATTTAATTACCTCTAAGTTCAACTCAATAACTTGACCTGTTCAAAAAATACGTAGAGGAGGGATCTTTTTGAAATGCACAGTTTATAAAGACAAAATGCAGAACCCAACTAATTGCTGAATAGATACTTATTTATGCAGATTGTGAAACCTAAGCCAGACCTGTATCAATATGATACATCTAGATAGATGCTATCTCAGTGATTTTGGTGTTCATATCTGTAGAATCTATTCGCCATCAAACGTCAAAATAATAATAGATAAGCAAAGGTCACTTTCTTTGACAATTCTACTGTCTCTCACAAGAGCTAAGGCAATTAATTCTCCAAAGTAAAGATGCGCTAAGGAACGATTATGCCTTCGGCACTAAGAGATCAAAAGTCCTTGATTAATAATCCAGAATCCAAAATGTTCAGGAAAGTACAATACATCTCGAAAAGTAAGTAAAAATGTTGCCAGATTCCCATTTTGAATTCTGTTGTGCATAATATTTGAAATCATCTTTTTTAATATGGGAATATATGTATTTCGAAGAAATACTGATATTTAGAGCTCTCTGTTAATGTCAGATTGATGTGTTCTACATGAACATAGCCAACCTAATAATCTATGACAATTTATGACAGCTATCGTTCTCCTCTATGCATTAATTAGAAATCTACTTTGAAAAGAAAATATATAGATGGCGATGTATCCAGCTATACCGGGTGTTTCAATTTCGACCATCACCATTCGGATCTCGGAAACGGTAAGAGATACGAATTCTCTTAAATAGGGGCAAAGTTGCATATTTAGGCAATAAACAAAACGCCGCTTAGAAAGTTTCAAAATTTGAAGTACTTCCTGAGAAAGACCGAAAAACCGAATGTTTCCAAAATCGTTTTAATTTTTCCAAAGTCGTTTTCATTTTGTCCTGACTTTATTCGTAGTGGGATTTCAAAATAAATTGCACATTAGCATTGATACTTTTTCTCCTCTACAAAATGGCATCATTAGAATTTCAATGTCATGTTTCATCTCTTGACCTCTAGCATTAACTTTGTTTTTTCTGCCAGATTGGATTTTTGCTCAGATAAATAGACCTTAGTTATTAAAAAAAAAGAATTTCCTAGGTATTCCCTATATTATCAGATAGTGATTTGTTTCCTATACGAGATTTTCTCAAAATCATAATAAACTGAGCACTGTAACAGTGTCCAGAGAAGAGTGAGAATTTGCCTACAAAATAGCTGACAACATTGTGAATATCTGCTATGATTTACCTCAGCTTCTAATTATATCATTTTGTGTAGAAGATAAAGTAACAATGTCAATGTGCAAAATAATTTAAAATTCCACTACAAATAAAGTCAGAACAAAATCAAAACGATTTTGGAAAAATTCTGGTTTTTTCGTCTTTCTTCGGAAGCCCTTGGAATTTCGAATACGCAACTTTGCCCCTATTTAAGCGACTTCACCGTTTCCGAGATCCGGATGGTGAGAGTCGATTTTGAAACACCCGATCCAAGCATATAGCATATATTTGGCTACAGCGCGATTTATGAGACATTAACATTTTCAAAGCAGGTTTCTAATTAGTGCAGAGAGAAGAAACATTGGTGTAACTAGCCGATGAGGATACGGTGTATCATTTCATATCGTATAATTTTTTGGACGCGGGAATATAGTATTAGGTTGGCTACCTTCAGGTAGAATACCATAACCAGATAATTTGATTTTTATCTTGGTAACAACTGATTCCGCAGAATAAACACCACATAGCTAATTCACAGGTCGTGTATCATTTAATTTTGAAGTCCTCTCTCTCTTGAAAACTACCAAGGCAAAACTTTGGTTCCATTCTAGTTTTGTGGTTGCAACATTGATTTTTTATAAAATTAGCCAAAGGCATTGCATAAGCATTACACTGCGTCCTTTCCTGACTGATGACTTTCAATGTTAGAAGCTATAAGTTTCGACCCAAATAACGTACAGTTGAAAAAAAATTGGCTAGTCTCTCTTTTGACAAAAGTTTCTGGTTTAAATGGAAGTTATGTGTGCGTTGCTTATTCCCTGAGTAATTGATTAACGCATTCTACCCGAGATAACCACCTTAATAAACTGCAATACTGTAGCGTCACCTGTGAGAATTGGTCACAACTGCGTTCCACCTCTCCGCACTAATTAGAGATTTACTTTGAAAAGGTTAGAGTCTCATAGACTCAAATATATGCTGTATTTAATTTGAGGTGGAGGGTAGTTTTCGTTGACTAATTAAGATGCAAAATGGAAAACTCGAGGTTCCAGCTGTAATGCACCTGAATATCTGAGGACCAGAAAGAAAGTTTGTTCTTTGTTCATGTCAAGCTTTCGAAAATGTTTATTTTTCTTCTTCAAGGCGTGGTAAAAAAAACAATGCTTGAACTACCAAACTCATTACAAATTAAAAAACTACCTAAAATGTTGAAAAAAACCTGTTTCAAGTCAAGCAAACTCAAAATACGTAGAAACATTAATGAATGTTGTGAATTGATGTTTCTTAGTTTTGTTCAGATCGCTTGTTCTGTAATAGAATTTCAATGTTGTAAGTAGGTTTATGTTAGTATATATTATACTTTTTTCTGGCCCTCTGAAATTCGATTATGTAACAGCTGCAACTTCAAGAGTTTTCCATTTTGCAACTAATATAGTTTGCTGTCTGTGAGACACTAAGGCCCGTATCGTCAGTCGTCCCTACAATTGGGCGCGTTTATGGCCTCCTTGATTGTCATACTCCTTTCTCCCCTTCAAAAATTTCTAGATTATACTTGTCCCGTGTCAGCGTCAGTGCTCTCCTATTGTGAAGATATGTTTTCTTTTTAAATTGTAGGAAATTTCAGGCTGATAAAACATGATATAACTCAAAAGCAAGCACAATTTGATGCAAATAGTTGATTGTGACATAACCTCAAAATAGAGTTCTGACACGGAGAAGTAGAAAACTATGACAATCAAGGAGGCCATAAAGGCGCCCTACAATTGTAGGGACGACTGACGATACGGGCCTAAGGTTTTCAAAGTACATTCCTAAATAATTAGTTGGGAGAGGAGCAACATAGTTGTAATAAATTCTCATAGGTGACTCAGTATCTTTTTTCTATTCGGATAATTTTTTAAACACAGGTTATAGTATTATGTTGGCTATCTTCAGGTAGAATATGTTAATCAATGGTCGTACTTATACTCCATAAATGTATTCTAGCTCTCAAAAAAATAAGGATGCAATTAATTCTAGTGAGAAACGCGGAAGAGAATTGAATACTTTATATTATAGAGGTACTGTAAAAATACTGTCAAAAGATCTATTCTTTATGGTTTTTTGTCTTTATTACTGAATACTGTATTTATTATTAATTCACCTTTCTCAGACTTCATGTGAAGTAATAAAAATCTCGTAATTTATTTATTTTCATTCTTTCAATTGGTGGGATTGTTGCATTAAAAAATGTAATTCTTCAACATATTTTATATACATAAAAATGTAGTACAACATTCTTTTGTAAAGTTTCTTTAATGTGTTTATCATAAGATGTATGGATGCAACAATCTCGACTGATACAATAAAAAACTTTTTTTCAATGAAGATGCCAACCTATTATTTTTACTCCTTATCTAAAATTCCTTGTAAATACACGTAATTCCATTAAATGCGTATACAAATTGAACACTTCTGTGTTTTTAATTTTCCCCTGTTCTTCAAATCTTACGCTGTGTATTTATCACAGGTTTATTCATATAGTTACAGTTTAGAAAAAAGAGAAATTATGCTAAGTACAAACAATTTCCAGATGAAGACCTATGTAATATTATTTTCTGGGATAACGCCAAACTTGCTAATAGATTCAGGTGTAACTCTCATCTTCAAAAGTAAAACTTTGCCGACAAGGGCAAGTTTGCTTTCCGTCTCGTGTAGCCAACAATAAAGACTTTATTGCAAAAAATTACAGTCGACCTGATTCTCAGAGGGGAGCTCAGCCCTCTTGGCACCGTTCCACGGGCGACCATGTCTCAAAAAGTCGTTGGGTAAATTTGAGGTAATAAATGCGTGGTTTGCGACTTTCCGGCTTCCCTGACTTCATTCGTAGTGGAATTCCAAAATAAACTGAACATTAACATTGATATTTTTACTCCTCTACAAAATGGCGTCATTAGAATTTCAATGCGACGTTTAATCTCTTGTCTTGTCCCCCAGCACGAACCTTATTTTTTCTTATAGATTCCATATTAGATTATTGTACAGATAAATATACAGTGTATCCCAGATTCGCTTCTCTATACAGGGATCTCGGCTCCTGTTATGCCTACAGCAAAGGTTAAATGGGGAAAGTTTTAGAGAAAACTTGGTGTTTTCGATATCCGGATTCGGATTTACGATCGGTCAATTTGATTTTTGCCAGTAAATCCAAAACGGTTAATTTGACAGCTGTCAAAATGTGTCATTCGGACATTTTTTCAAGAAAATGTAGCATGTGTGAAATGTCTCAATCGTCTTTCATTTTTCTTATTGGATATTTTAATTTTTGAAGAGTGTAAAATTTCCAGTCTAGTGATGTCTGCATAAGTGCATAACAGATTGGAGTATCACCTAAGGTTAGGTATTAGTAGTTTTCTAAGGAGGCCATGATTGATTTGTCAGAAAATAACATTAATGAGTAAGGCATAAAAAACACATAAAACCCTTGAATTTTCAACAAGTCAAATGTTTTTGGACAAATTTCCAACTATGAGTGTGTTGAAAAAAACAAGTCAGAAAAAATGATGTATATTTATTTTACACTTCAAAAAACAAACTTTTTAAAAAATTGTAATGTAAAATCTAATTATTTAATAAGTGGGTATTGATTGACATATTCATAAGATAACATCCATTTGCATTCAGACATTTTTGACAATTGGTGATTGTTTTTCATACAACCTCAGCTAGTGTATTTCTGTTGTTTCTAACTGTGCTCAAAATTCTTTGTCTCAGGATTTCTATGGTCGCGGGAGGATCAAATTCATAGACCTCATTATTTGTGTGAACCCAGAGGTCCAGAGGTAGAAATCCAAGGGTGAAAGGTCAGAGGATCTAGGAGACCAAGATATTGAACCATTTAACGAAATTATTCTTTCATCAAACTGTTCTCTTAAGAAGTTCCCTACTTGAATAGTGTTGTGAGCTGGACATCCATCCTGTTGACACCAAGTTTTTCTAAACTCCTCTTCGGTTAGACTAGCTCATAAAGCCGGCACAACCTGGTTTTGCAAAAGCTCTAGGTACCTATGTCTGTTTAGGTTGCTGTGATTGTAGTCAAACAAAAATGGTCCTAAAAGTGGATTTCCTGAAATGATGAATACCTAATTTCTAAAAGGTGCCCAATTAAAAAAGGACAATGACCCCACACCAGGGTTGCAAAAAAACATAAAAAAAAGAAAAATCAATTTTTTTTGTTTAAAACTGTTTTTTTTCTGTTTAAAACATTCAAATATGGCTAAAAAAATGTTTGAAACAGTAAAAAAAATAAAAAAACTATTGCCTATATAATCTAGCAACGTTAATGAAGTTTCTTGAAAGTGTTATTACTATTTTTCGTCGGGGAAGTACCGTTTGCCTTTGGATAATTTTCCAGTGTTGCCAGATGAATTTTTCATAAAGCGGTAAAACTTGGTCCAAAAAAGCGGTAGAAAAAGGTATATGAAGGAAATTGCTAGTCGTACAATAAATTAATGCATTTTTTTATTAAGCTGTAATAATTATGCCAGAACTCTACATAAAACTCGATTTATTATATGTTCTAAACAAGAACTAACAAGTAGGACTCAAAAAATAGGCATTCTTGACATCGACAAAAACTAAACTAAGTTAAGAAAAATAAGCATTACGAATATTGATTAGCTAATTCTAATGAATATCTTTGGTCATTAACCTCAATTCATTGTTTCCCTTGCATTCGAAACAAAACTACTTGTAATTAGTCTTTGACTGTGTAATATTCCTATAATAGTACTTGAGCGATTCCTTTGGGTAGTTTTCAGAAAAAATCCTTTCAACCCCAAATATTAGTATATATATATATATATATATATACAGGGTGTCCGCAAAGTTGGGGTTTTCCTTTTCAGAAACAACTACCCTTGAAATAACAAAGGTAATGTGTAGTGAAACGAGGGCGACCAAGTAAAAAAAAATAAAGGAAAAAGTACTCACTCTCCAGTTGACGAGAAGGGCTAAGTACGTCTCTGCCTGAAATCGAAAGTTATTCACCCCATTACGCGTGAACGTAGATTCGTCTGTCACCAATATGCACTTCAAAAAGTCTGGATTATTGTCATGTTGATGCAACAACCACTCACAAAACCGCACTCTTGCTGGAAAATCGTCAGGTTGAAGGGCTTGTACACGTTGGACGTTTGCCACACTTTGGTTTTTGATACTTGCACTTCTCTAGCCACGTCTCTAGTGCTTGTTGAGGGATTCTCGTCTACGCGATTCAGTAGTTCTTCCTCAACTTGCACCATTCGTGGTTGTCTAGGCCTCCCACTGTGCCCACCACGAAATTCCTCCAAATGGCCCGTATCCCTGACTCTCTGATACACAAATCTGCGGGGCCTTGGATGATGTCGTCTAGGGAAACGATCTGCATACACTCGCGACGATTCTGTATTATTTTGAAGACATTCGCCATAAATTAACAACATATCAACGATTTCATTATTGGTGTATGAGTGTGCCATTATTATTATTTTTTTTTGAAACGCAATCGATTATACGGGTTCGTTACCTCTATACGCGTGACCCTTTACCGTCGGTTGAAGGTTGCAGACTGACCTGACACACTGACCCCGACCCCCGACCCAGTTCTGTCGTCGGGTTCAGCTAGTAGCCGGTACCAGTCTGAGATATCGCGGGTCGCGGCTACAGGACGGTATTCAGATATTTTTGGTGTTGCAGAGCCCTTTATCTCGGTTCCCTTAAGACATTGGTGTATATGGTACTAAGAAAAATTGCTTATGTTTTCAAGATCTACACGTCGTGTAAAGGAAAACCCCAACTTTGCGGACACCCTGTATATTCATAAGTAATATCATAAGGGCATTAGAATTTTCCATCTTGTACCTATTATTACAAAATTTCAACTATTATTTTAGTAAAATATTTGTTCTCTGAGAATATTTGAATAATTCATATTTTTATGATACTAGCATATTTATTAAAAAAATCATACCTATAGGCTTAGAAACTCACCTTCAACCAAAAAAGAGGCCCAATATTAAAAAATCTTTATGGAAATTCCGGAATACACGTACCACCAATGCACATTGCACAACAATAAATAAATCACACATTGTACGTCGACGCCACAAAACATATAGACCAGAGTTCCCCAAACTTTTTTGTGTCGTAGACCCCTTGCCATGTTTTTCCGTGTTGGAAGACCCCCTACTTACCTGATATTGATTTCCTGTAAATTTCTAACTGTAGTGAAGTTTAGTGTTAAAAACTTAAAGTAAAAACACATGTTAATTTATACATTTGTTAATTGAATTTAAATTAAAACTACTCAAAATAAAATTTTGTATCTGTTATGTAAAATATACGTAACATTAAATAAACAGATGTCTGACCAATAAGTGCCCGCATTGGGAATAAGTGCCCGCATTGAAAAAAAAAATAAAAGGGATAAAATAAAAAAAGTGAAAAGTAATAAAAAAAAGTTCTTACTTAAAATAAGTAAAATAAGCGAGTTCGTTTATTAATTATAACATAAACGTATGTTCTACAATAATTTCACTGTTAGTTTGATTAAATTCCGCTTCTTATACGTTTAAGTTATCTAAAAATAGGCAAAAAATTAACGAATTTTAGTGTGTACCTATCCTTGAATTTTGAGAATTTAAAAAAAAATATTTTCTATAAAGGGGGGTTCTTTAAAAAAATCAATGCGGGCACTTATTCCCAATGCGGGCATTTATTGGTCAGACACCAATAAACATAAAATAAACTATAAATAAAATAACATAAGCAATAAGTCAATATTTTTAGTGAGAAGGATGAACCTGATGCTTTAATAATAAATTATCAACATTTGGCGTCAATTTTGTAAGGGTTAATCTTAAATCTCCTCGGCTAATGATGTCCAGTCTGTTTCTTTTTTTCGTTAGGAGATTGGTAACAGCGCTGAACCCACTTTCCACTAGGTATGACGATGGAAAGGAAATTAAAAATTTCCTCGCTATATTCCATAATACGGGATAAGTAACGGGTATGTTGTTTTGCAGCCAGAATTGCTGATATCCGTTTTTAAACTGAAGTTCTTCGTTTGTACTTAGTTCAGTCACTTCCTCTTGTATTATGTCATTCGTTTCTTCTATGGCACCATATGGATTAATTATCCACGGTGGTATTACCATAGTCAAAATATCCTCAAACCTAGATTCAAAATCTGAATAGATGGCATTTAAATGTTGAACGTAAGTTGAAACGTCGTCTTCCTGGCAGCTTGTCTGTGACAAATTGGGGAACTGAGAAAATTCGCCCCGTCCAATATTTTGCTTCATTAGTTTAACTCTGGCAAGAAACGCTGATAAGATGGACTTTGTTTTAATCAAATTTAAACTGTCGCCTTGTAATTGCAAATTAACCATATTAAATTTTGTAAACAAATCTGTTTTCCTCTTCATTAAATTTTCTTTTAAAATTTCATCTTTAGTATCCAGAAATTCTAAAATAGTATCAAAAAGTGCAAAAAATTTTGTCAAACATAAGCCTTTCGACAGCCAGCGTACTTCAGTGTGAAGGAGTAATTGATGAAAGTGTTCGTCATTTTCTTCACACAACTGCGCAAATAACCGCGTATTCAACGCGTTGCTTCGGATTCGGTTTACTGCATCAATGACTAAATGAAGTGATTCATGCAATCTAACACTCAAATTTTTAGCAACTAAATGTTGTCGATGGATGACGCAATGTATTGCTAATACCCCTGACAAATTTTGTTTTAAATAGCTTATAAATCCACGATAACGCCCAACCATGGCAGGTGCTCCATCTGTAGCTACTGATATTATATATGTATTTGATAAAGGAATTGCTTTTTCAATGAAGTAATCCTTCAAAACATGAAATATTCATTCACCTTTAGTGTCGGTTATCAAAGTTCTTGCGAAGAGCAGTTCTTCGTAGATTTCTTGATTCATTTCTTGATTCAATAATGCTGCATTATCAGGTAAAGTTGACTCGTCCAGTTGTATAGAGAAATGGGTCGTTTGCAAATAATTACGTAAGAAGCTTTCAATATCAGAACTCATTTCATCAATACGTCTTTCAGCAGTATTGTTGCTTAAGGGAATTCTTTTAATGATATCAGATGCAGGTTTGTGTAAAACAGTTTTTAAAACCTCTTCAACGGCTGGCAAAATTAACTTCTCTCCGATAGTATGCGGTTTTCCGGATTTTGCTATAAGTAACGATATATTGTAAGACGCCCGCAAACCATCATCATTTCTTTGTGACGTCGAAGCGTAGGTCTCTTCTGAAATTTATCTTTGAGTGTTTGAAAGTATTTCAAATCTTTCTCTGTTTTATCAGGGTGGCATCTTCTCAGATGATCTTGCAGTTTAGATGGTTTCATAGCGTCATTGCCCAAAACTTTGTTGCATAAAAGGCACATAGGCGATTGTTTGTCCGGCAATGATGGAATGAAGCCAAATTTCAAATAATCAACACTGTACTGTCTACATTTCTTTTTAGATTAGGACATGGCATCAGTCATCTGTGGGCAAAATTAAATTATTTAAATAAGACAGAAAATCCAGCAGCTGTACATTAAAAATATTTTTTGATTTTTCCGAAAACATTCCATAATTCGAACATCTTCTTGCAACAATTAGCTCGAATTACGGAGATTGCACTGCAATTATATTACCGATTGCTAAAACTTTCAAAAAGAAACTATTGAGGAGTACTCGTGTAATTTTGCATGATTGAATATTTAACTACTAATAACTAAAGTCATGAATGGCGTAATTTATCTATCTTTGCTAACTACGAGTACAAAACTAAAATTTAATAAAAAATAATGTACTTACTTTTCTCCAGCACTCTCAAACAAAATAACACTGACTTACTATAATTTGCGTGATATACTATCTGTTTATATTTTTTAAAATATTTTCTTAGCACTTTCCTTTTCAAGATTCAGGAAACGAATAAACGTATTTGTCCCACATTCGTATTTATAGAGTGACGAATTGAACAAGTCAGTGCAAGGTAGCGAAGCTCTGAGACTGCGACTCTCAGGTTTTTACAAGTTCAAAATGTATTGCGACCACAATGCGAATACCAACATCCTACAATTTACACAATTTTATAAACATATATAATACATTTTTTACTTCATGGGTACTTTTATAAACAATGTATATGTTTTGATATTATAAGATAGCATGATGTAAGTAAATAGGTACTATCAGTGTATGTGTTGAGATCCACTATCGTGGACCCCTCCCCATATTCATTTCATGGACCCCCAAATTTTTTTTCACTGACGTAGACCCCTTGCAGGTTGTCATAGACCCCATGGGGGTCGATATAGTATAGTCCACTTTGGGAATCAATGATATAAATCAAATTCAAGCGGATAACCAAATGGAAATGGTATTTACCATTTTGGGTTGGTATTTACCAATCCGTTCAAGCGAGTGTAGTTATCAGTTTGGTTATAAGATCCGTGGCGTCACGAATCAGCTGTTATATGTCATAGTTATCACCGCAAAATTGTGGTATTTACCCAACTCAAGAGTAGTTTTATATTTGTGGTTATTATTTGAAATGTAACAAGTTAGAATTTTGCCGGGTATTGGATATTGTTATTCTACTTCAGCTTCATTTTTGAGAAAATTGATACAGGCTGACTTCAGTTTTACCATAAAGTGGAGCACCTTATTAGTTATACTCATTACGGTTGTTGGGGACACTTTAAATGTAGTTCCTATGCTTAACAAAGTATCCATATACCACAAGAATATTAAAATATGGCCATATAAACTCACTAGATGATATCCACCTGTTTACGGTTTGCTAATTTCTTTTTTCATCATTTCTGCTGAATCAATAAATGTTTTCTTTGACATGCGGAAAAATTTAGAGAATTGAAAGTTATCATAGCTACAAAGCCATGGTTCCATCATTTAAAAAAAAATGTGAAAAAAACATTTCTCCCATGAATATTATGAAAGGTTTCTTATTTAAACTTTCCATATACAGTTGTAGACGAAAAAGCACCGATTATTTAGTGATAATAAAAATAATCAGAGATTATATACGCGCTTTTCTAAAATAAACAACTTGCAACAAAACCGCGGTTAAAACCAACGCGTTCAAGCGATTCGTGTAACTGACGTCATCAACCCGTGTGTCATCTTGAACCATATTATAACCTCGGCACATAACACAGAAAATTTGGTTATTCGCTTGGATTTGATTATAGATAGACTGACGGGCATAAAAATGGCAGCGAAATATTTCCGTAAATACCCTCTCCCGGGGTCGGGGAATTCCCTGACCAGGAAACCTGACCATTATTAGTGGTTACCGTGAGATGGCGGTAGCAAATTATGTATTTACGCTCCGAGAATGATAAAGTCGTATATTACAGAAGTAAAACTGGATAGCGGTAGATGGCTCTATAAAGCGGTAGTAGTAGTACCTACCGCTTTAGAGGTAGATCTGGTAACACTGTTGCGATCTCCAGCAGTCAAATATGCGAAGTTATAACATGGTGCCGTTTTTTTGTGCATAGATATCGGCAAAAAAAGAAAGGCAATGACAGGGAGGAGAAAGGATCCCGTGTGGAAATATTTTAAGGAGACTGATGCCAGAGCAAAATGTTTAACCTGCAATATGGATATGGTGCCACTGGTGGCTAGAATGCGCAATCCTTTAAAAAATTCTAAACAACTTAAACAAGGAAGTTTATTAGAAAAACAAAATATTCATATATGAGATAGTTCTGATACCGACAATGATGTTTCTATACCGAACCAATTTCCTCAAAGTTGAGTAGCTTGGAGAATTGTGAAAAAGGTAAATTTTTTTTCTCGGAGTTCCGTAAAAAGTAGTGAAAACTACAAATTTTTTCTATGTACATTTTCCATGATTTTATATTTTAAAAATATGGATTTAAGGATTTTTTGATTGAGCGTTAAATAAGATGGGTTGTATACTTTTATAGACATTTGTTAAGTAACTTATTTAATGTTATTATACAAGTAAATACATAGTCATATTATATGATTATTTTGCTGCTTGTAGTGTACTAGTATTAGAGTTCAATGCAGTTTATTAAGTTCACTCGTTCGTTAAGAAACAGATTTTTTCCACTAGTATTAGTTCCCTAGTTTCATGTTTGATTAATTAATAAAGAATAAAGTCTATTTTTTAGTACCTATGTGTTTTAACCTATGGCCCTTTTAGTTTTTGGAAAATAAAATCAATTTTAATCATACTTAAAAACTATAAAAAAAACTTGAATAACCCACAAACGACAAAAAAGTGTTTTAAACATGTTTTAAACAGTTTAAAACAAATTGGTTCAAAACACCTTCATTGTTTTAAACAGTGTTTAAAATACTTGTTTTAAACATTTTGATTAAGCATAATAATCCTGCCCCACACCAAACGTTAGTTCCAAATCTGGTCTGTAGGCGTCTCTTTGCCACTTTGTGGGGGTTTTCCACAGCCCAATGCAGTCTTATGTGTTTTGTGGCCCAATGATGAGTGTTGTGCTTATTAAAGAGTCCACAATTCGTAAACCTACTCTCATCTGACCACAAGACATGCTTAACAAAATCGAGATTTTTATTAGACTTCCTAGTACACCATTCACAGAAGCGCATTCGCCTTGGAAAATCAGTTTCCTTAAGTCTTTGAAATATGGCTGGTATTTATTCTTATTTAACACGCTCTGTACTGTTAATTTGACCACACCAATTTCTCGTTCTATAGTTCTTACTGATGCGCAAGGGATTTCGTTGACAGCTTGTAAAAATGTTTCTGTCGCGATTTTCATTTAAAATATTGTATCCGCTTATAGGTTGTTCGAAGGTCCCAAGGTTTATTAAATCAACTAAGTACTATTTTTCTAAATTGGATTTTATGAGGCTGCCGTCGTTCGGGGTACATCTCCAAGTATCCTACTGAGGTAATGTCGGCGTTTTTGTGTGACTGCAAGTACAGTGCTAACATTTCAAACTTGTCTTCATTTGAGTAGGGAATACCGACCATTTTCAACAGGTTTTGACATTTTTTTTTGTCAGATTTATGTTTTAATGAGAAAACGTACCTACTACTTATTAAAACACAATTTTAAATATTTGAATTCAATAACGTCAAAGTCAGAGCCTCCTGAAAAAATGCGTTACTTATTAATTTTATTTTCGGACAAATACATCATGGCACGTGTGATAATATTTCGATGATACTCAAATCTTTTATGCACCTGAAAAATCCAATATGGCGGCCATAAAAAATGAAAGTTGAGGCAGGTTGCGAGAAAACAAAAGACGAATTCGACAGCTGTCAAATTAACAGTTTCGGATTTACTAGCAAAAAACAGACTTCGTCATTTTCGGTTTTTCGTCGATATTTCCAAAATCAATTGACCGATCGTAAATCTGAAGCAGGCTATCGAATGCACTAAGTTCCTCTAAAACCTTTCCCATTTAACCTTTGCTGTAGGTATAACAAGAGCCGAGGTCCCTGTATAGAGAAGCGAATTTGGAACACAGTGTATAATTGTGATTCCAAAAATGTATGATACGTCATACATTGACATTGCCAAACAGCCAAACCACTCTCTACTCATTATTGATTATTGTCTGTCTGAGCGTCCGTTGTACCTTTGCTTTTGGTTAAAGTCTTGTAATTCGGTAGATCTGACAGGTTTGGTTGCTTCAGATACCAGACAAAGTCGGGGAGAAAGAAGGGAACAATATCTGCAGGGAGAATTGCCAAATCTGATATTTAAAAAAAACAGAATTTCCTAGGTAGGCCTTGAAATTATCAGATTGTCATTTGTTTTATATACCAGATTTTTCGCAAAATCATAAACTGAGCGCTGAACAATGTACAGAGTGGACTAAGGTTTTACCTACAGAATAACGGACATTTTAAATATCTGAAAAATAAAAGCAACTTCCCTAAACCTATGTAACCAGCATGGCGGGACGTTGGCATTTTACCCGCCAGATAAAGCTAATGTATGGTAAGTGGCACCATCCATTGGGCTTAACTGTAAGCTATAATAAACTAAATAATTATACAGATTTGTTCAGAAAAAACGTGGAAAAAAATTAATTCAATCCATTTTTTGCATTAGATGACACATAACTTCTGGCGCCATCTATTGTTTTATCTTAGTTACATACAAGGCAATTATATCTAGGGAATATTAATTTGTCCAAAGGAAAGGTGTTTTGAGGAAGCTCATACTGAGGCTTATCTTTGGGCCAGTGGTTTAATTTCATGTTTCAAGGTTATGTTTTCTCGGGGAAGACTGTTTCATCCACACCACACCAAATATTTTTTTGTTTAAAATGGTTTATTAGACTACCCTTTGTCAGTTGCAAATGAAAACAAAAACCGGTGGAATCTGAAGTTATACAAGTCCCAACAGTAGGTACCTCGAATGCGGTATATAACGGCAATTCCACAAAAAGAATGGAAAGGGATATTGTCCCTAGTTGAATGTTTAAATTTGAAATTATGATGTCCTAGAAAGCAAGAGTTGATTGCAGCGCCATCTATCGGTAGGTAGCAGTAAAATATGCACAAATGATCAAGTTTCATATAACTCTCATATCATAAGGGATGGTCCATTTTTCACCATACTTGGTGCAAATTTTGAATGAAATGTATAGTAAATTCCACAGTTTTTTAATTTTTTTACTAATTTCTAGCTCATTTCGGAAATATGGGATTCAAATGGAACCATCTTCAGTATCAACCAAAAATCTAACATTTTTTTGTTTATCTTGGAAATCAGCGCACACTGATAATTTAAGAGAAAATTCCACCAATCCTTGATTTAGAAAAAAAATTGTCTAGCCGACTTAATTTTTCATTCTCCATTTTACGAAACCGTAAAAATCACCGACTTACGTTCACGCCACATGACGCGATTTCCAATGTGTATGACAAAGGAGAACAGATAGAACATAGCGCCAAATGTCAGCATCTCTGCTGGTTTTCCTATTATTACACGCGGTAAAAAATGGTGACATCCATGCCTTATTTTAAGTTTAGACCCATTTTTATTATAAAAATGTGTATTTTATGATAGTGTAATTTATTTCAGGGGTAAGATGGAATGTATTCTAAATGTTTGAATAATTTTGCATGGAGTAGATACGGAATTATCATTTAAAATAAGCTCTATCATGGTGCAGTTTATTGTCTTACCTCAACACCATTTTGATTTAAATTGTGAATATAAATATATAACGTATTATATGATATTCTAGATTGTGTAGTGCTTATTTTGAAAGAGTTCTTTAATTTTTAGATGCCTCACAGGCAAATTTCGGGGCCAAGGCACAAGTTAGAGATGGCTGAATGCCAAGTAACACACTACCCCAATCAAGAAAAAATCTGCAAGTACCATTATGCCCCCTGGGGCTCCACTTGTGAAATCCACTTTCCAAGGAGGCGATCTCGAAGTGAAACCAATGATCCTTGCAGAAGGAGAGTGAAAGAAATGAAAACTCTAACACCAAAAAAGTGTAGAACGCAAGAGTATGAAAATATGGATTATGACTATGAAGCCAGGGCCCAGTGGTCTGAGAAGTATGATTGTTGTAGAATTAGGGCGAATTTATGTGAGCTTCCCACCACTTATATTTCAAATAACTGTCAGTCAAACGTAACCAAGGCATCAGCTGATTCTGGAGATTACATGGAATGTCTCAAAAGTGTCACATATGATAATACAGTAAAATTTGTGGGTAGCGATGAACAGTTAGAAAATTTGGAAAAAGCTGGTAGCATGGAACATTATACCAGGTTAAGCCCCAATAAATTCGATTATAGCAAGTGCCAAAAGAAGCCAGATATTAGGAGTCCAGGAAAAAATATAACATTGCACTCTAGAAGTATGATCAGAGGATTTATGCCACTGCAAGACAATCATCCACCTGGTTTTAAAAGCCAAAGCATGAAAAATTTGGAGATCAATACTTCCAGCTGTAGAGAATACTGTCCACTGGTTGATTTCAAACTACATAATTTATCAGATCATAGGCCAGTTTGCTACGATACCGGCACATACTTTGATAAAAGGATAGACCATGAAAATTTGAAAGAGAGATACAATGTAGAGTTGGAATTTTTGAGAGAGAGGCTGAAAAAACTGAGAGACTCAGCTTATGGAATCGTTAATGCTGAAAAACTAACAGTTGAAACAGCTCCAAATGGAATAAAGAATAATAATGCTAAAGAGATAAAAATTACAGCTTTGGAGGTGGAAATGAAAGTAAATAAAAAGGAAAAGATTAAAGTGATATCACCTCCTGTTTCTAGACATAGTAAGAATAGGCTAGTGGTTCGAACCAAAGGAAAAGTTAACCATGTTAAGCTCAAAAAAATTCCAAAACCAAAAATACCAACCAGTGCCTCAACTAGCTCTAAGTGTGCTGAAAGGTAAGCATTTTTTATATGTGCTTTTTTAACACAACTTTATGTCTGATATATCCTTTATCCAAGGTTTTTACCAGTCAATTTGTAAATTGTGGATTTGCAAAATAAACTACTGGTTTGTTTTGCTATTAAGAGGTTTGTTAGGTATCATCAATATTTGTTGGTTCCTCTGCAACCATTTGGTATAGATATCTGGAGGTATTTCAAGACTGTCAAAAAAAATTAATGTTTATTGGAGTATTAATAAATAATAGAATAAAAATATGAGTAAATAATAGAATACAAAAAAATACCCCAACAGGCTGGAGATTGGCATAGTCATTTCACCTCCCACCTGTGTATCTAATGTAAATAAAATTATTTAACAAAGTGCAACACTATATCGTAGTAAGTAAAAACATATACATCACACATAAGAGCATGTAACTGATAACTATAAATATACACAGAATTTTGAATGATAGTAATTGTAAGAATGAGATCTATTTAACCACTTGTAGATTCAGCAAATTGTAACTGTAGCAGCATTTTTTGATTTCTCTTTTGAAACTGTGAATGAATGCTACTTCAAATTTTTTAGATTTATCATAGTATAAGGTATAAATATTGATGGAGAACTCAATACTGTATAATAATTTAGAACTATCTCATCTCATTTAGTAGTGATAGGAGCATACCTAAGACCTGCATTTAAGAGGCACTTGAGAGCTTGTACTTCTCCTTATGTTAGAAGATCCAATTCCTTATTATTTCTGTATTATATTCTGTATTTATGTATTGACAACATACAGATTGCTTCACTTCCTAATAAAATTTAGGTTTTCACCTAAAGAAAATTTGAGAATGGATTTACTGGTTGCAATTTCCCTTAAGGGTGTACCAGAGTCTTACTGTTTTGAAAGTTAATGTCATTTCATGTGTAAAGTCTTCTACTTCCCATGCCTACCAGCGCAAAATTTCTGAAGACAGCGTTGCATATGAAGAAAGAGGTTCCAAAATGTCTCTCTGTGATTCAGAATTCCTTGTAAATAGAATTGCAGACCAACAAGTACCCAAAAAGGAGTTCTGTGTTATACAAAGTTTGATAGCAGATATATCTCACTTACACAGCTCGTTTTCTTCATTTTAACTTTTTCACATCATTCATTCAATTGAATTGATAGTCCAAGAGCTCTCAAAAATTGTCCTCCCTCTAACTTTTTTGTGTCATTGTTTAGAAAATATTGTTTTATACAAAAGTTATTGTCTCAAAAAAACTGTTTCTTGCAAAGTCTGTCCGCAATGTTGAATAGTGTCCCATTTAAAAACAATACAGTTTTATTTGATAAGACTTTTCTGAGACTTCCTGTGTGCAAAAAGCCTAGCTTGAAAAATATAGATATATGGAGATGTACATGGTGTTTAAACCATTGGGATCTTGGAACCTATAAGAGTTACGCAGTTCTAAATTGTTTGAATTTTTTCCTGACTTTATTTGTAGTGGGATTTTAAAATAGATTGCAAATCAACGTTGCCACTCTTTCTCCTCTACAAGATGGCATTATTATAATTTTGTCACTTTTCCTCCAGCATCAACTTTATTTTTCTCATGGGTTCCATATTGGATTTTTACACATATGAATAAAGTTTTTCATTCTGATTGCAAAAATGTGAAATATTTCATACATTAACATTGCCAAACTGTAGTTATTTCAAAAAAAGGAGAATTTCCTAGGTAGGCCTTGAAATTATCAGGTCGTCATTTGTTTCACATATCAGATTTATCCACAATCACATTTATTTTTTCTGACTTCATTAGAGATGGGATTTTAAAATAAATTGCATGTTATCATTGTTACTTATTCTCCTCTACAAAATGGCATAGTCAAATTTTCAATTCCACATTTCTTCTTTTGACGTCCATCACCAAGCTTATTTTTTCATATGGATACTATATTGGAATTTTGTACTTCGAAATGGACTTTTCAGTCCTAAATTCAGTGATGTATTTCCCTAGTAGGCCTTAAATTTGTTGTGTGTGTGTGTACGCAACGAATGGCATCGGAACCTGGTGTCCATTTGCCACAAAAAGAGCCTTAAATTGGTTGTTGGAATATTTAAAAAAATAAAAAATATAGCGAAACCTGAACAGAAGATGAAAATTTTATTGCTGGTAATAACAATAATAATCATAAATAAGCAGAGGTAAATCATAGCAGATGTTCAGAATGTCCTTCATTTTGTAGGCAAAGCCTGGCTCAATCTTCCAAACTCTGTTGCTATAGTCAATTTGAGGTCTGGTCTGTCATATGAAACAAATGAAATCTGATAATTTCAAGTCCTACTTAAGAACTTGTTTATTTTCTGGAATAACTAATGTCTGAAAATGTCAGTGTATGATATGGTATTTTTGAAATCAGAATTGGAAACTATTCATTTGCGCAAAACCCCAATCCATAAGAAAAAATAAAGTTGATGCTGGAGGACAAGAGACGAAACGTCATATTGAAATTCTAATTAGAGGAGAAAAAGTGGCCACGTTAATGTCTTGGAATCCCACTACCAATAAAGTCAAGAAAAAAAGTGATTTTGGGAAATTCGGTTATTTCCGTCCCTCTCTGGAAGTACTTTGAATTTCGTAACTTTCTAAGCAGCATTTTGTTGGTTACCTAAATACACAACTTTGTCCCCAATTGAGCAACTTTGTATCTCTCACAGTTTCCGAGATCCCAATGGTGAGGGTCGAATTTGAAACATTCTGTATATTAGACCCTATAATTTGAAAGTACAGTCTATGAAAGCCAAAATCTCGCCAATTTTGTCATGAAAAACAAGGTTGAAATCGCTTTAAAATTATTTAATCTCAAAATACCCTTCATTGTTTTGAAGAGCAAAGTTTAACTTTAATTCACTTGGCGCCCCCAAAAATTATGGTTTTCAATCGAATTTTTAAGCATTGAATATACTCGCACGATAACCCAGATCAAATGTTTACATTTTTTTGCTCGGACAGTTTTTTTCAGGTTTTTTGGATCAATCCAGGCAAAATGCTTCTGTTAACTTTTCTCAAAAGCTGATCATTTTCGGGTTATAAGCGATTTAATGTCTAAAAAGCCCTAATGCTTATTTTCAATGCTTAAAAACTATGTTAAAAATTATTGTTTTTGGGGTCGCGAAGTATCTAAATTAAAGTTTGAACCTTGCTTTACAAAACCCCGATGGGTATTTTAACATTTCTTTATTTTAAAGCGATTTTTAACTTTGCCTGTGAGGCCAAAATTGGCGAACTTTTGGTTTTCACAGACTGTACATATAAACGCTATTTAATGCCCCACGTTTTGTCGTCGAGGGGACTTTTGAATGATTTTGCCACAATTTTCATCTACACTATACTTAAATTCCCTGTATAATACTACTAGACGTTTTCTTAGCTGGCAAAAATCATCTCTTGTCACATATTTTCAGGATACATTTTCATCTCATCTCATAAATTCTAGTATTCATTAATGTATCATATCTACGTTAGGAAACCTGAACCATCTTTATGTTTGTCATTGTTCAGAAAATTTTGGCAGAAATTTCACCAATTCATGTAAGAACCTTGGACTTTATTTGGTTATTTTTGGGGACATGTTTTTCATCAATTATATCAATAGACCATACGTCCTGCATAGAGGATAGTTGCTATGCATTCATTCGTTGTCCAAAGACGATTTCCCAATCCCACACCATGCTGATGGGTAGACAAAAAGCACGAAACAGCTGTCAATGGTTGGCTGTCTTTGGTCGGGCGGAGGAAAGCAGAATATTTAATGGATTTCCATTTTCAACATTACCAGTCATTACTATTTTAAAGTTTCTGGCATAATTTAGTCCAAAAACTAAATCGAACACTCAATCTCGATTTTTCTATTCAGTATTTTTACCTGCATCCAAGTATTATTAAAATGCTTCAAATGCAGTTCAAATGACCACTTCCATACGTGTTTTGGGCTGCTCAAACTGCAATGTTAAGGTGCTAAAAATCTATTTCCATTGACATCGGATTCGGAGTCTTAACAATCTCTTATGCCAACTTAAAAATCGCATAATTTTTGGGAAACATGTTTTTGGTGTAAAACCTTATTATGCATATTCAGATTCTCTTGAGAAAATTTCGTCGTACAAAAGCTCTGTGCGTGATACATATGTTATTTTTTATTTTTGGAAAAGGTAAATATCCTCATTCTAAATATAGTAAGTGGAATCCTTCTTTATAATGTTTACAAAATTTTAATGTTAACAGCTGTCAGAACGATGTTCCAGTAGCCTTGCTCTAGTAAAGCTTAAAAATGTAGTGTACTGTAATACGTATAGTGGAAGATCCGAATTAGAAGAGACCTTCATTCATCTGTTTAATAGATAAAAAGTTTTTTGTATCAAATTTAGCTTTCAAAAAAAATATATCGCGAGTGGGTTGGATAAAGAATTCCTTGAGACGATGATTAATTTATGTTTTGAGTGTGGCAAGTTACAGTTTGAGTTCTGTCATTTATTGTCTACTACTAGCACTATACAAGGCGTTACAACATTACTATTGTATTTATTTTCCGACGGCTCAATAAATCATTTAAAACAACTTTAGCATATCCGCCATCTTCAAATTCCTCCTTCACGCTAAAATATAGTATTCATGTATTAATTTCATCATCCCAAATTTCAGATGGCTAACTTCACCCTTTCGAAAAATAGGCAGAAGAGGTCTTTTTGAAAAGCACTGTATATCTATTCTTGCGCTACTTAAGGACCATTAAATAGGCCAGACAAAATACAGCAAAAAATATTGCAAGTTTGTAAAAATTTCTCCAAAGCTTAAATACATCATTATGGATAACATATCAAAACTCCTCATATATCTTTGGAGCGGAACCTTGTTTTATTTGGGTTGAAATGTCAAAACCATCTCGTTTTGTTGTATTTTTCTAAAATGGAAAGAGATACCACAAAAATACCTTATACAAACTTTTTAGAAAATACAATTAATTATCTACGAGTATCTATAAAAGTTGGTGAAGTACTTTTAATCCTTGAGTCACCGGTTATGAGATTTAGTGATGTGTGGACTTTCATACCTTGTACTCTTATGAGGTCTATATTTTGTGCACGCTTTCTTCGTTCGATATAAACATATGTGTGGAAGCATTGATGTACGCGACTTATACTAAAATACTTACCACTCATACACGGTGTGAAAAAAGTGTCAGTGATTCTTAAAAAAAATCATTACCTGGGTTATTAAATGTTTGTATACAAAACAATTGAAGTCGAAATGCTAGAAAATTCCAAAAAGAAGGTAAAAGTCTTTACCTACTTAAAATTAACGAACACCAGTGTCGGAGATACAGGGGATTGGTGGCATTATCATTCTAAATAAAAATAGTACGGCACTGTTTTTTTTAAATGCGCAATTTTTCGAATTTTACCTTCAATTTGCTACAAATAATTACTCTTGTGTTTTTTCCTAGAGTGCATTGTTTTCGTAAAAATAAAAAAAAAACAAATTAGATAATCAAAGCTTTATTTCAATAAATGTTCAAAAAGACCACCAATCTGACGGATACAAGTGCGGCATCTTTTTAATAAGGAAAAACTTATTTCCTCAAAATTTGTTGTGGCTTGAATTTGATGAAACGCATTATCTATTATTTCTTGTAACTGATCAACAGTATTAATTTGTTCAGCATACACTAGTTGTTCAAAATAAATCCAGGGGGTTCAAATCAGGGACTATGCGGTTATGTCACGACGAATATGCGGTGGGGCACCGTCGTGCCACATTTTCTATGTAATTGTCTAGAAAATCTATGTATGAGTTTGCATTTAAATGTTGTGGCAATACGTGTATAAACAGTTGGTCATTGAAAATTCTGCACCTGACATTTCTAGAAAATCTGTGTTGACATGAGTGGATTCTTACAAAACGGGGATTTTCTAACGATCAAATATGTTCATTATGAGAATTAAAGGTTCCACTCCCCGTAAAAAGCGATTCATGTGACCACAAAACCAAATCAATAAAAATCTGCATTTTGATTAAGCATTTGCAGTAAGGATGTAAAACTTTCCGAATTAAAATTCTCCACGCAATACTTTGGGAACATGGTAACTGGGCTGCAATTCGCCTAGTATTTGTACTAGGATCACCCAACGCCAAATTAATCACTTCCAGTTCAACCTTGAATAGTATGCCGGACACCATGGCCTCTAACTCCGGGAAATTTGGCAATTAGTATTGCCGAAGTCTTAAAAATGTACGCGTGAAAATCTTTGGGGTAGGTTGGCGTCTGTCAGGAAATCCACGTTGATACTCCAGATAAGTCGCTAAAGCATTTCCATTACACAACCCGTATACCAAAATAATATCGGCGTACTCATCATTGCTAAATTCCATTTCACAACACTTAAAAATGGCAAAAATAAAGTTTTGACTTGACTTTTACAAAAAAAAAAAAATGGTAATAGTAACGATAACAACCGTATAACACATAACTTTGACAAACTATCTCCCAAGAAAGTCAAGTTGGTATCAAGGCCTAGTCTTTTTTTTGAAACTAATTGTATCTCGGCACTTCATGAAAGAACTAATTTAAAGGTTTATGGCTTAAATCTTTTTGACAACTTCTTTCCACTCTTTTAATGTTTTTGGTCTTTTCTTTCAAGTCTGGTACGCCTAGTCTTCGTATATCCTTTCACACTTTTTAGGATTTTCACTCTTCTTCTGTTTTCTCCTCCAAGCAGCACCTTTTTGGCACTCGTATAAGATGGCATTCTGTAAACGTGTCCTAGCCAGCGCACCATTTGAGCCCAGGTTTTTTGTATTATACAGGGTTGGTTATACATCTCCATCAGTTCTTTGTTAGTTCGCTTTTTGCGTAACATTTTTCTTTCTTAGCGTTCTGATTTTTGTACGTTTTTCTAGCTTAACACCCAAGCTTCACCGCTATATAATACGTATGTTTGGAAAACGAATTTATTTTTTCCGTTTTCCTTGATATCCATCGTGAGTTTGTCATCTTGCTTAAGTCCCCATTGCCTTACTCCCCTTTGCTATTCTTTTCTCAATTTCTAAATCTTCTTCTGCTTTATTATTAATCCTAGATATTAAAACTAGTTCACCATCTGAAAGCAATATTCTCTGCAACTACTTTTCGTTGTTAACATCCTTATGGCGCCCAAAACGTGTCAGTTCCTTCTAACCTTCTAAACGGCCAAAAAAGTATTCAGTCGCATACTAAACATGTATTGTACATGTATTCGAATACCAGTATTCAATATCTGCTGATATTCAAGTTTTTTATAGTTTCTCTCTGAACAACTACCATATGGCACAACCTTATTAATCTAGATTTACAGTGTATATGTACATACGTCACAAAGCACAATATACGACTAAATCAAAATTAAACATACATATCAATAATAACTTACTAACATTTTCCAATTACGCAAAGAATTTAGGTTTATGTTGAATAAAGGTATCAGGTAACAGGAGCATGTTAGCCATGTGTGTAGGTCTAGTTATCTCAGGCTAAGACGTCAATATGCAAATAAAACTATTTCAAATAAAAAAATTAAGAAAACGTTATGTGTGTCTTTGATATTGAGTGAAATAGCTTACTACAACATTGTTTATTATTCCCGTCTGAACGAAATAACAAAATACAGGCTGCAAAGTATACCTGCTCCCGCTATATAAACAATTTCAGAAGATACGATCACGTTTTTTACTCAATAGCTTCCATGAATTGGTGAAAATATCCGATAGGTTCAAATGCAAGTGTGTACATAAATACCTTTGTTCCCTCTTACCTTATAGTCTTATCATCTTGTTAGCAAATTTCCCCGAAATTGTAAAGTCTGGTTTTATTGATGCAAGTTATTCAAAGAGGCATTTGAAACATGGACGCATAAAATGGGTACACCAATTTTTGTGAGAAAACTTCTTATTGGACAACAAAGTATCAGAAAACGCGTTTTTTTGGGATTTAATCGAAAATGTTAGCAGGTACGAAAAAACTGTTCAAATGAGATTTTTAGGTATATATGAGACCTACAGAATTAGATCACACGGAAAAAGATCCCACTCATAGTAAAAAAGTTATGGCCGAAAACCGAGGCGAAATGTAGGCTTTGGCACTTGTTGCTAAAGCGACGATAATTTAACGCAGCTACTTGAAATTCTGCAAATCCGAAGACTTCTGACTCCTAAATATCCACAACAAAATTCGAGTCGATTGGTCAAGTAGTTTTTAAGAATGTCTTATTGTTTATCCCAAAACACCTGTCTCCCGGCCATCACTACTAGTTTAAAGAGCAATATACAGGGTTCGTTCGAAAGGCATTTTATAGCAAGATACACAAGTTAACCTTGCTGACATGAATCACAAGCCATTCCGAAAGATAATTGTTATTTTTATGCGAAAAACGAAGGGTTACGTTTTTTCTTCTAAACAAATTCAAACATTTCGTATTTGTAAGTAATTGAACAGATTCCCTAGGATATTGAAAAAACATTCGTTATTAACTTATTATACACAAAGCGGATGAATGTATCACCTTTTCTTGCGAAGAAAAATTATTTTTTTTTCATGATTTCTTCATACACGGTTTTCGGTCATAACTTTTTTACTACTAGTGGGATCTTTTTACGTGTGGTTTCATTCTGTAGGTCTCATAAATACCTAAGAATCTTATTTGAAGAGTTTTTTCGTTCCTGCCAAAAAACACGTTTTCTCATTATATGTTGTCGAACAAAAAGTTTTCCCACAAAAACTGGTATACCCATTTTAAGCGTATATGTTTTAAATACCCCCGTGAACAACTTGCATCAATAAAACCAGCCTTTACAATTATTTCGCAAACCAGGGGTATTTTCGACTAATATGATTATACTATTTGGCAAAATCCTGTTTATATGAATTTGAATACGCGCAACAACCATCTCCTCACATTGCCACATTACAGGACAGCCACGCCCTTTCACGTATAATGCAGTGAAGATGATTAATTCATTTGACCAAAACTTTTCCAAAAAAACCTATAAGATCTGTTTATTAAATGCTTAATTATGTTTTTTTTCTCTCCAGTTTTAATCATATGTTCATCCTATGTCTTTTTCTGATGCGTAGGATTAGAACAAAGGTCGACTTTTGGATAGCTTTTTTTACTGATTATTTTCCTCTAGGCTAAGTTTTAGGTTAAGGTAGCAGTAAGCTTGTCATGGTTAAGTATGAATGGCCATTGGCCAAACTTCGTCATCTGTACGTATTTGTTACAATACAGTCAAGTAAATCGATTCAAAATACCAAGTATTCGAATATTACCCAAGTCTGACTACGACAACAGGAAGTATCATCGGAAATTTTTCCCTTTAAATCGTTCTCAATTTATTTTTAGTGCAAATCTTTATAACCTAAAAGAAGTTCATTAAAAAACGTGATTCACGAGACATACCGGTAAATCCTACCTAAAAATCGTGTCCAATAAGCCTGACTTATTTCAAGACACCTTGACTCACCATAGAGAAATTTCACGTACTTTAGCAACCATGTTAAAATAAGAATCTGGAGTTTAAAATAGGACATCGTTCTTTCGCGGATGATAAAACAATAAAAAACGTGAGATTGAGCACTTCATTTTGTGCTTGGCATGCAGACTATAAACACGCGGATTTAAAAATTCCTTATGTGTTTTAAATGTCAGGATGAGACTTGGCATAACAGAAGCAACTAGTTTAGGGAAAAGTGGTACCTTATTTGTGTTCTGGTGATTTTTTTGGGCATAATGAAGTTAGAGATAATAGACTCGGATAACTCGGAAGAAAAGTAATTAAAGTTTTCTGTTAAGTTTTTTTTATTAATTTGATGTTTTCAGTGACTTTAGTGGATCTGATACTGAACATGAAGTAAACAGTGATGAACTTGATAACGTTAGTGAAAAATCATTAGAAGGAAGTAATAGGGAATCATCAGAAGTTGGTTCGTCTCTTGGTCCGCAAGAGTCAGGTAAGACGTTTGTTACCTTTATTTGATCAGCATATTGTAGATGTACATTTTAAGTATTCAATACAGGGTTGCTGGGAAACTTCATACTAGGGGGAGTCCAATAGGAGATTGTGGGATTTGCACCAGATTAAAGTACGGACGGATACCTTGCATCCTGTTGATCACCTACGGCCAATAATAATATAAAAAAATCGATCGCTAGAAATACTAGAGCGTGTCGGACCAAGTTAAGCTGTGTAAATCACAGGCTGAAAAGTGTGTATTTTAATAATTTGACGATTTGAGTTGGGCGTAAGGGACTGGGAGGGTCACAATCTTGCAAAAAAAAAGCCACCTTGACATTCTGAAACGCGGTCGATTCCGTTTTGAAGGAAAATTCAAGAATAACACAATATAAATAATCTGCCGATTTTAACACGCCGAGCCTGTATTGCCCACTCCACGGCTTTCTCACTCTTAAGGCCGAATCGTCAGTCGTTCCTACAATATTGTAGGACGCCTTTATCGCCTTCTTGATATTCATAGTATTTTCTCTCATTCAGAAACGCTGGGATATTTCTAGATTTCTACCGATCCGTGTCAGCGTTAGCGCTGTCCTATTGTGAAGTTGTTTTCTTTTTGAACTGTAAAACTGTTAAAGCTCATAAAACAGGTGATACAAATCGAAAGCATGAATAATTTTATGCAAATCGATATTTGTCACATAACCTCAAAATACAGCGCGGACACAGAACAGTATACCCTATTTCACGAGTATCCATCACGGTAGAATGACAGCTGGTTATCTAGTAATAGTTCAAAATTCCCCATATCGGCCCAGGACACAAAATTCTGACGGATCCGTCAAGGCCAGGTCGACAGAGCCGTATTTGGTTTTGTTTTTTTTTAAGCTTCAGATTCATTTTGTACTTGCTAACAGCTCTTTTATTTAGAAAAGTTCATTTGCACACAAAAAAGAAAACGCCACAAACAATCTTTACTAGATTTATACCCGATTCATTATTGCCAACGCTGCAGTCTAACACAAAAATGTCACTTGTTGATCAGCTGTTCACCTCGATAGACGTCAAAGCGTGATGGATACTCGTGAAATAGGATAGAGAAAAATATGAAAATCAAGGAGGCCATAAAGGCGTCCTACAATTGGACGGCTTTTTGTAGAAAGGAACCAACCGACTAAACATTTGAAAAATCTAGATTTTAGGAAAATAAACTATTACGAGTACCGTTTACTATAAAAAAGATCCATACACATATTTACAGCCTTTAGTATGCCATTAATTAAAATCGTGTTTGGTCTGAAATGAATTTATTGTCAAAACTTTAAAGCCTAATTGCTCAATAATTATTTTTCTGGGTTGGTTCCTTTCTGCAAAAAGCCATCTAATTGTAGGAACGACTGACGATACGACCCTTAATAAACCAAGACCATGAAAATCGATAACGCCAGTCAGAAGTTACACTAATTTTACTTCCCATGCCTACCGGCGGGGAAGTATCGTAATCGCGAAAATTGAAATTGCGGAAAATGAGATATTATGTTTTTTGGATGTTATATGACATGTACATCACGAAAAACCATGTCCCTCATTTCAGTCGGTCTGTCCGCTAATCGTATAACCGCCTATAACTTGAGAAGTACCGCTCGGACTTCGATGAAATTTTCACACAACGTTACTACTATGCCAAAAATCGGTCCAGTGGTGGCCTAAAACGAAAAAAGTAAAAATCGCTCAATCTTTGTTTTTTGAGGTTTCAGTGGATCCTGATCATTTTTGAAAAACAATTTAGAGCAATTTCTCGTGGTTACTTTTTTTAAATGTTTTTTAATCCATAGCTCTAAGTTCACTGGTTGCCAAGATACAGCCGGCGTCCTTTATTAATAGCACATCCGGTACAAACCGGCAGATTATCATACCTCCAATATCACAGATATGTGGGGTATTCACAATATCAGTCTCTGATGCGCTCGCGTATTTCGGTGACCAAAAACTTATCAGAGATGAAATGAGATACCTTTGTCACAGCTATGTTTTCCTCTCCGCAATTATTAGAAATCTACATTGAAAAGGTTATTGTCTCATAGATGGCGCTGTACCTAACTATATGAGCACTAGATGTTTCCCGCGACTTTGTACATGTTAAATTGTTACATAAAACATTATTTTTGAGTATTGCTATAATTGCATTGCATAAGTTTATTGACAGGCTTGAGAAATTTGGTCATTTTATTAATGGAGCCACCTATGCACTGCGGGGGTAAAACCGAGGGGCGGAAAGCTATTTATTGCTATTTCTTTGACATTAGAATGTTAAATTAAAATAAATTTTACAGTGTAAAAGCTACCTCTCTGCCAAATTTCCGGTTACACAATCCATTCTTAGCTTAAGTCTACTCTAAGCAGAACCTCATCGTTGCCAATTGTTAGATATTATAATACTTCAAGCAATTTCAAACAAACTTGTAAGTACCCTTTAGTCGCTTAATTCTGCCCCGCCACAAAACTTATTCTTAGCTGAAATGACCTATCCATACCTGTGCTTGTAGATCAAATGGATTCTGAGTTTTCGTGAGTAACGTGTAACTTTTGCTTTTACATATACGAGGAGGTACCCAAAATAAATGGAATAGCATTGCAGTGGGGCGGAGCCCCTATAGGCGTACAGCGCAACTCATTACCAGTTCAGTGCCAACTGAAATGTCGATCTGGCTTGTTTTGTTCCTATGTAGTCATTATTTTTGCTATAGCTGTTTCGTACTTGTTTCGCAAGCTTCAGTGAGCAACGTCCAGCTGTAAAATTTTGCTTTCTAATTGGTAAAAATGCTGCTGAAACTGTTTTAATGTTGAAAATAACAAAGATGATGCTACGGGAAAAACTCAGGTGTACGAGTAGTTTGCTCGATTTAAAAATGGCGACATGTCGATTGGTGACAAACCACGCTCTGGACGTCCGGTGTTCGGTAAAAAAGACCCGATTTGTGGCAGTCAGGAGACTGGTTCTTCCACCACGATAATGCACCTGCGCACACAACCATCTCTGTTCGACAGTTTCTGACTAAAAATGGCATAGTTCCGTTGCCTCATGCACCTTATTCGCCTGGCCTGGCTCCGTGCGACTTTTTCTTATTTCCACGGATGAAAAGGGGCATTGAAGAGGTCAAGAAAAAAACGAGGGAGGAGCTGTCAGACATTTCTAAGGAGGACTTCAAAAAATGTTTCGAGCAGTGAAAGCACCGATGGGACAAGTGTATTGGTTGTGCTGGACAGTATTTTGAAGGAGATAAGGTTACTTTGTGAAAAAGTTGAAAATAAATAGCTTTTAAAAAATAATTCCTATTTTATTTGTACCCCCTCATATATCTGCCCTTAGCCCCCTTAATCTAGCCTTATTGCAAAATCCATTATTAGCTGACATTCTCCACGTACTACCTCTCTATCAAATGTCATGTTTATAGGTTGAATAGTTTCTGAGATTTCGCTTTATATGTATTTGCCCTTTGATCCCTTAATCCGGCCTTGTAGTGAAATTCGTTTTTGACTGAGATGTTATGTCTATAAACTACCTTCCTACCAAATTTCTTGTTCAGAGGTTAAATACTTTTCGAGATTTCGTGACTGATTTCGGCCCATTTTTAAAATCTGTTCTTAGCTGATACATTTTATGCATACCATAAACTACCTCTCTGCAAAATTTAATGTCCATATGTTAAATAGTAATTCATGAGTAAAGAGAAAAAAGACACTCTTTTTGCATTTATATCTATCTGCCCATAACCCTCGTTGATCCAGCCCTGTCGCAAAATTTGTCTTCAGCTTTCACGCCCTGTCCATAAATTTACATCTTTTCCAAATGTTCATAGATGAAATAATGTTGGAAATAAATTTTTATTAACTTGAAAAATGATGAGGTTCTTTATAGAAATATTCAACCCCTCCTACCCCGTCTTGAGAATATAATTTCTGAAACTCTTCGATAATAATAATCATTTATAAGATAAAATTAAAGAAAAACATACTCCTTCTTTCAGGCTGGATTAGTTAGACATATAGTTCTCTACAAAAACTTGAAGAATGTGAATTCCCATGTTACCTTCTTAGGGGTGAATTTATAAAATTTCTTTGAAAATATCCATTTACACTATATCAAAAAACCGAGCGAATGGAACTCATATCATACCTAGCTTCAAAAAATAATTGTTTCGTCATAAGGTTGCCTATGTCCGTCTCCAGTGTCTATGATAAAATTCATTAAAATCGGTTCATCCGTTTTGGCGTGAAAATTTAACGTACAAACATACATATAAACTTGCACATTTAGGGATATTTGTGCATATAGCTTGCTACACCGCCATCTATGAGACACTGACTGTTTCAAAGTAGTTTTCTGATTATTGTGGAGAGGAGAAGGACAACTGTGACAAATTCTCATAGATAACGCCAGGGTATTTCATTTCATTTTAAGTAATTTTATTCGTATAATTTTGTGCAGGCTGGCTCTCTCCAGGTAGAATACGTTAATCATTGCTTCAGATTAGTATCTCGTGATCCACAAAATTTCATATATTTATTTCCTTCTAGGTTCTGGCGACTCTGCCACTTGGCCGATCCGTCCAAGTCTGTTTCCAAACATTCCTCCATACATACATTTCAATACTCACGACTCAAAAGAAGAGTACACAATTCCAGGAAAAAGGCATTTCAAATGGAAACTAACCACAATCACACCAGTTATAATTCGGAAAACGATAACAAACTCTGGATTTGCACTGGTCAGAAGTGAGTTTACTCGAGGTGTGCCCCCCTTTTCCGATCCTTTTTGTCCTTTTTTTTCCTTAAATAATAAAATCAAGAGGCATTATTAGCTGTTCGCATTAAAAAAGAATGTAATTTTACGAAGTTATTCATAATACATTTAAGAAAAATCATTTGGGTATTGGCAAAAAAATACAGCGTGTCCTGAAAATTGGGACTTTCCTTTTCAGAGTCAACTACGTTTGTAATATCAAAGGTAATCTGCGGAAAAACAACACCGAAAACGTAAAAAGGAAATTGAAGAAAAATACACACTATTTATTTGCTAAAGAATTTCAAGTACTGCTCTGTCGCATATTTTGTTTGTAAATAATGCTTGAAGTTGTCGCTGTTCGATTCAAAAATACCAGTGTGTTTATCTCTTCCTGAGTTTGCTTTTGGGGATGTCTAGGTCTTCAAATTTGCGCGATATAAACAAATATATGAAGCTCTCATGGAAAGAAACATCGAGGATGGCGGCGACGTTCTGAGTACACTGGCGAGTTATCAATACGATCTTGAAGATTGTCATATCAAATCTATAACTACGTTATGGTTCTAGCAATGTACCAATTTTGGTTTTTCAAATTGGTTAACCTAGACACCATGTAATGCCTAATTTGTATACTGACTCGCTTAGTCTCAGTACATCATCATACGTTTCGTGGTAGGAGTGGATTGTGGGAGGGGAGGGGGCAGGGTCGTACTGAATCATTTATAACTTTTTGGAACCTAATATCTCGGTTATCTTAAAGCTTTGGTATATACCGGGTGTTTCAAATTCGACCATCAAAATTAGGATCTCGGAAACGATAAGAGATACGAAGTGGCTTAAAAGTTTTTTAATCCAAAATGCTTCCGGAGGTAGACGGAAAAGAACCGAATTTTCCCAAAATGGTTTTTTTCCTGACTTTATTTGTAGTGGAATTTCTACAAGATAGTATAATTGGAATTTCAATATGACGTTTCGTCTTTATTCCTGCAGCAACTTTATTTTTTCTAATGGTCGCCAATATTGGATTTTTGCATAGGTGAATAGAATTTTTAATTCTGATTTAAAAAATGTATAATATCATACATCTACATTGCAAACCTTAGTTATTTCAAAAATAGAATTTCCTAAGTTGGCATTGAAATTATCAGATAGTTATTTGTTTCGTATACCGGATTTATTGGAAAATCGTTGTTTATTGCCACTCGGTCTTGTCTAGAAGAAGGCGTAATCAAATTCTCAATTAGTTGATTCTGCTTTCGATCTCCTTCAACTTTGTTTTTTATTTCTTATGGAATCCCCATTGAAATTTTCCGCAATCGATATGAATATATTACATTTATTTATGTCACGATTAACTTTACTTAGTAGTATTTAAAAGTACAGAATTCCAATATAGCGTCCATATGACAAAACAAAGTTGGTGATGGAAGTTGGAAGAAGAAACCTTGAATTGAAAATTTGAACACGCTTGTAGCGGAGAAAAGGTGGCAATGACAACATGTAATTTATTTCGAAATCGCATCTCGGGCAAAAATAAAAGTGATTTTGTGATAAATCTCGTATACGAAACAAATGACTATCTAATAATTTCAAGTCCTACCTGGGAAATTCTATTTTTTTTAAGTAACCAAAGTTTGGCAATGTCAATGGATGACACGTCCAAAAATCCAATATGGCGCCTATAGGAAAAATATTGAAATTTTGAGTATGCCATCTTGTAGAGAAGAAAAAGTGTCAGGGTGTAATTTATTTTTAAATCCCACTATAAATAAAGTCAAGAATTTTTTTTTGAGAAATTGGCTTTTTAGTTACCCAAAATAAGCAATTTTGCCCCCATTTAAGCGACTTCGTATCTCTTACCGTTTCCGGGATCGTGATGGTGAGGGTCGAATTTGAAACACCCGGTATGTTACTGAAAAACATGCTTATCATTGCCTTATCTATAGGCTCTGTAAAGGTACGCCCCGACTTTGAGGACACCCTGTATTTAAGAGGGAACATCAATATTTTCCTCCAAGAAGTAAATTCTGGTTGCCTTAATTTTTTCCTATCAACGACAAGCTGCAGTAGTGTGTGTGATTATCTAAGAATGTCTCCAATAATCTGCTTCTTTTCCAAACATAAAAATAATTGATTTTCAGAATCAAACCAATGGCTAGGAACCTGGGGAAAACACATGAAATCGCCGATGTTCAAAACGCTAAAAGACTCGCAAAAGCTGAATCATTTTCCTGGTACATTTCAATTAGGTAGGAAAGATAGATTATGGAGAAATTTCCAGAAAATGATTGCTAAATATGGTCACAAAGAGTAAGTAGGTAGTTTTTATACTTTGAAATAGTATGCATTTGAAATGTTGTGTAAAACTATTAAAAATTTCACAAGGATTTATTTTTGCAACGTGTAAATGCAGTTGCACATGTTTTCTAGCGAAGGTTGTTAAAGCAATACTTATCTGTCAGTAATATTGCGTTGGATTTATTGTATATACAGTTTTGGAAATGCTATGTGCCAACATCTGGTGTAGCCATATTTTTCAAAAGATACGGTGACACGCAACGACCGAAATTGTTGTTGAAACCTTGTCATGTTGATTCATTTTTGGAGTGTTATGATCACAGTAACTTGTTTGATATAATTTATATTTTTTTAGGTTTGGATTTTTACCGCTCACATACGTTCTACCTCAGGACTTGAGATTGTTGAAACAAAGCTGGGAATTTAGAAGCAGTTGTGGAGAACTGTGGATTATCAAGCCAGTAAGTGAGGTTTCGATATCATTTTCATTTTAAAAAGAATATATTTGAAACAGAGGTATCATAACTCAAATTTAGCGTCATTTTTCAACGACACCACCTAGTGGTAAATGTTATATTGCGTATCAGTCATTTAGGCTACAGGGGAATTTAATTATGGATCGTTTTAAGATGGAGGAATGCATCAGAATTGTGCTTCGCTTCGCTACGAAAATCAATCTTATTTCAGCACGAACATTACCTTGAAGGAAGGGTACATGCTCATGGATAGCATTACTACAAATTTAGAACAATATGTTCTTTCAACATTATAGGGCCACATCATGATACTATAACTCGAGAAAGTATGTTCACTTCGCCATCGAATTTCGTACGCCTTTGCGCATGACGTCACTCGGTGACAAATGTTCCACTTCCCAATATTTGGAATATTTCCATAACATTTTTTGTTATCGATTTTACATGATACCCGCAATATTATCATATAATGTTTTATTTATATTTTGATGTTTTGTCAATACAATTATTATATCATTATGTACAGAATACATTGTTATCATCCCTTTTGAAAAATTTACAAATAGACATGTTGAAACATTCTAAATAACTTAAGAGTTGATCATTTAAAATGAGACTGTAGCTTTCCAAACCTAAATTTCTTTAGAGATACAAATAAAGGGTCTTGTTTATTGAAGTGAATTGGTTTCAAATAATACATTTGTGCATCAGTAACACATATATTAATTTGTTATTCAACTTTTTAAACAGAAATATAATTGAGAACATGACATCTTTATAATTTTGCATAAAATGTTGTGTAAAAGGTTTTTGGTCTTTTTTATGGGTAGGTGTTAATAAAAGTATTTTATATTGGTGAACAACTTCATTTTGTTTATTCACATTTTGCATAAATTTTCCTCTCTTAATTCTTGATTTTTCTTTTATATCTCTATTTAACATCCGGATTTTAAAATACATTTTACATCTAAAAAAAAGATGGATGGCATCTACGCTTACACGAACTGGCCTGGCTAAATTCATTAACGATTTTGAATAGTTTTTGGTTAATTTTGAAACTGTCGAAAATATGGTCGAGTTCATTACATTTAATTAGAAATTATCGAATATCTGATAACATTTCAGAACCGATTGTTTGCAAACTTGTTTGTTCTTAAGAAACTGAAAAAATTTCCAATTTGAAACGTATTTGCTTTTCTGGTTGTTTTGAACAACCTACCTCTCTCCACTACACCATAGTTAAATGTTTAATTACCCGGTTTTTAATTATATCCCACATTGAGACTTATTGAAACACTCCAGATAACAAACTAAATAAATTACATGCTAAAGAGCTATATAAAACTGAACGTTTATCATTCGCCTCTGTGGAATTTTTTCACCGAGTGACGTCACGCATGCGAAGGAAATGACTGATCGTATGCGCTTGGGTTTATCTTCTCAAGTGATAGTATCATGGGGTCACATGTCATACGCCGGCATCAGAATTGTTCCATATACATTTTTCTGATGACCGTGTGACTTCTCGCAATGGTGATGTCCACTGGTTTGCGAGATCATGCATTCTTTTTTTTTATACTCCAACTACCACGAAGGCCTAAGGCCTAAACACCCATTGGGTACCGTGGGGCTATAGGGGGATACAGGGGAAAGGGGGAACGCCATACGGACTCTGGCGAGGGAACACGTGTGCATGCAACATGCACACATTCTGGCTCCGCCTACGAGATCCGCCGGGTGGTACCTCCACGTTCGACAGTCAGAGACCGTCTACCACCTACGGACAATCACAACATCCATAGCCAAGAGAAAAATTTCTCCTGGGACGCGACTCGAACCCGCACAGCGCACGGCGACTGATCAGGAGACCGAAGAGTCTACTACTGCGGCCACCGCTGCTGCCTGATCTAATTTCTCTTGACTTTTTTGTGGGGCTCTTTCAAGAATAAGATGTATTCAGAAAATCCGCAGACGATTAATGACTTGAAGCATTGATTAACATATTCTACCTGTAGATAGCCAACTTGTTAGGTATACCTACTACAAAAATAAAAAGTGTTGATTAATGCATTCCACTTGAAAATACCCAATTGAAATTGGCGTTTAAACAATGATATTCTGGTGGAAATAGAACATCAGTATCATACGTGGAATAAACCACAAAAGGGGATATACAGGTAATTGCCGCAATGGCCAACGTAATATTTTTTATCTATCAAACTATATAATTTCTTGTTAGAAGCTAATAAATCCAACTTGTTTATTCTAAATTCTTGCGCAATGATTTAAAGCAAATTAAAATATTTTATACAAAATACATACTGACCCGCATTAAATAGTCTAATAGAGTATAGTTAAATCTCATACATATTTTTCTTTGAGAAATTACTACAAATACAATTTTTAAAATTCAATAATTAAAACACTAATAACTATTATATTTATACAGGGTGTCTAAAAGTTGAGTCAACTACGTTTGCAATACCAAACCTAATTTGTGGCAAAACAATACCGAACACGGAAAAAAGAGATTGAAGAAAAATACTCCTCATTCATTTGGTAACAATTTACTCACGTACTCACACATTCGCTTGAACCTTAATATCTCGGTTTTATTAAAGCTTTGGTATATACGTTATTAAAAACACATGCTTATTATTGCCTGGCCTAGACGCTCTGTAAAGGAAAGTCCCAACTTTGAGACTTTGAGGACACCCTGTATAATATAACGAGTTATATGTATCATTCGTAGAAAGACAAGTAGAAATTGATCCAAAAGATTACTGAACCGTTTAATCGAAGAGATTGAAGAATATTCATCATGCATAACTGCCAGACTTCTTAATCCTAATAATATAAATAAGCATGTTTTCAAAATTGTTGTGTTTGATCGTTTACCATCTTTTTTATTAAATAAAAACAACAAAAATGATGTAACTTTTCCTCTCTCACCACGCGCGCGTTGTAATGACTTTTGTCCATTGCAATTTTCGTCGGTACCACCTATAACTTGGGAAGTACCACTCGTATTTTGATGAAATTTTTACACAATGTTGCTACTATGCCAAGGACGAAAAAAATATTTCCAGTGGCGGCGGAGAAAAAGGCCAAAAACAAAAAATCGGTTAAATTTTTGACGCTTCTGATCATTTTCGAAAAAAAAATTGTAAGGGTTGAAAATTGGGATTGGGAGTTGTGGGGGTACGGGGTTGTAAATTTTATGTCTGTAGTATAAGTCGTTCTATCACTAAGAAGCTTATAGGCATAATGAGGCACACATGTTTTACCTACATCTGCTATGGAAATAGAAATATGTTTATATAGTTTTATATGTAGAGGTCGAAGATTCATCGTAACTAAGTGAACCGCCTTTTGAAACGACTTGACCAATCCCTTTTCTTTGAAACTTCGAACGAAGGCGTAGGAAGTTTAGAGTCAGTCTACTTGACGCCATTTTTTTTTCTTCCAGCCTGCCTCTGCACGTGGTGTTGGTATCAAGGTGATCAACAAATGGTCGCAGCTGCCGAAAAAGACCTCATTGGTCGTTCAAAAATACATAGCGAATCCCTACCTCATAAACGGCAGCAAGTTTGACCTTAGACTGTACGTGCTTGTCACCAGTTTTGATCCCTTGAGGATATACTTGTACCCGGAAGGGTTAGCTCGTTTTGCCTGTGGTAAGTGATCATCAAACAAATCTTTCAGGTTTTTTCTTACTAGTATTATAAATGATAAAGTGTGGATTTTTATTACTGTAACTACATATGAAAATGTATCCAAGCTGAGGCGTATTAGGTCAAAAAAAGCTTAGCCGAAAAAAGGTGTTTTCTAGAAAATAGTTTTTTACGTGCTCAACTTTGCTTAAAAAATTTGAAAAAAGTACCGATGTTACATTGTTATAACCTATATAATGGTGATTTTTTATAAATTTGTGAAACTTGTAGGTTCGAGAAAGTATTTTTTTGAATCTTTTTTTTTTTATTTTTTGGTTAGCAAAATGAGAGTTTGCAAATTTAAAAACCCACTGTATGCAGTGTTTTCAAGTGTTATTTTCAGATTTACTGACAAATTCGTGAATTTTGGAGAAACCGAATTTTTACCGATTTTTCCAATGTAGACATTTTTGGAGCATGATATAACTTACTCAAGATATACCTGTATTTTTATCCATTCTTTCACCACAATCAAAATTCTGATTTGTTTCCCTGAAAAATGTGCCAATAAAAAAATCGCATTTTAGTTGGTTAACACAATAACCCACTCCCACCCAGTTTCGTTGTCAAGATCATAATTTCTTGCCCAGAAAATCGCAAAAATTCGAAAAAACCGCATTTTTAAAGGTTTTTCTCGAATTTCGACAATCTTAGACTAGGATATTATATCTTGGCTGACCTCAATGAACATATGTATTTAAGAAAAGAAAAATGTTGATTTCCTCCAATTTTTGACATTTTAGGTCAGTAAAAGAATGATTGGCTAAACCAAAAACGTACACATGCGTGGATCGGGTTTTTGGGTTAGCGAAATTATGATATCGTACTCTAAAGATGTCTGAAATTGAAAAAATTAATGAATATGTCGCTTATTTGATTTTTGGCAATGTTCCTGACAAAAATTAATTATTTTGTTAGTGGATCTGTAAAGAACGCAAGAAAGCGCTGATATACCTGTAAAGTGGATGCGAAATGTTTTCGAAATTTTGATTACCTAACCAAAAATTCGAAAAAATATCTCAGAAACTATTTTTGAAAAAATCCGTTTTTGAGGTTATGGGCCCCTAGGGACAACTTAACAACCTGAAGATTTGTGATTTGATCCAATATACCTGAATTTGGATTGATCCAGATTTGGATACTTGGGGTCAATTGCTATATGTAGTTTCGAAATAAAGCCTTTGGTAGACTGGACTAGCTCATAGGCTACTTTTGATCCCGGAAAATAACTTTGAAATATCTACTTAACGGGCTATACCCCAAATGGCTTGATGGAATTTGACATGTAGTATCTGGCACGTAAGCGCTTGGTCGCTGGTCCGACTGAAATGATTAAGAATATAAAATATGTATAAATAGGGCATTTCCAGCGTACAGTTACTGCATTTCGACATTCGTTTTCCTAGCGTGATCGTCTTGATTCTGATTTGATGTTTTGTTTTACTTCAAGTAATATAAAGGTGATGTTTAATATTAAAATTAATTTTTTAGTTGCTATTTACAAAATTGGAGATATCACGAAAGTATAGTTAATTTCACCGCACCCTTTTTTACATAAACTTGAATTTTATGTTTATATCTTAACATTTATATTGCGCTTATTCCAAACTAAATAGTCATACTTTATTATTGATTGCAGTGACATAAACTGTCCTATACTTGAAAATTGTTTTCTACTTTTTAGTTCGATTTGCTATTAAAGTGTTTTTTTAGTTTTTTTAAACGATAATTTACTTTCTGAATTTTTAGTCTCAAGAGCTTCGATTTTTAGTATATTTTATATTTGGCAATAAATCTAAATTCACTCAAAATTTACAAACCTTCAAGTTCTTTTCCGAATTTCCAAATAATTTTTTTTCCAAATATCAAAATTCAAATTTTTCAGAATATTTTCGTTAATTTCAAGATATAACGAAGACATCATGTTGACAAAAAGTCTACAAACCTCGCGAAACATCGAAAAATCTAGAGGTAAACAAAACTTACAACTAACTGACAAAACACCTAACCTACTACTTGACATCTAAACCATACTCGAGTTTCACAGGTATCCATCACGTTTTGATATCTATTGAGATGAACAGCGGATCAGCAAGTGACATCTTTGTATCATTCTGTAACGTTTCCAATAATGCATTGGGTGTAAATTTAGTAAAACATGCTTGTAGCGTTTTTGTTTTGTATGCAAATGAACTTTTTTAAATAAAAGGGTTGTTAGTAAGTACAAAATGAATCTGTAGCGAACAAAAAACAAAACAAAATTCGGCTCTGTCTACCTGGTGTTGACGGATCCGTCAGAATTATCTGTCATTTGTCGACATGGTGAATTTTGAAATATTGCTAGTTAATCAGCTGTTATTCTACCGTAATGGATAGTCGTGAATAGGATAATAACTGACAGCGTACCTTACGTACAACTTAACAACACATGACAGAACCCAAACTGTGACCCACCGCATTATACAGGGCGTTACATTTTTATTATGAGTAAACCTGAAGATGTTTCGATACAGCCGTTTATTTATCTTTGTTTTCCTTTTTTCAGCCAAATATAGTGATGACGCTAAAGATTTGAAGGATAGGTATATGCATTTAACAAATTATAGTATAAATAAATTATCGAGTCAGTATACAGCGAATGAAGATGCCAATGCATGTCAGGGGCACAAATGGTATGTATTTTTATGATTTTTTTTATTATTACTGTGTCGCAAAAATTAACTACATGGGTGAGTTTTTAGCATAGGCTCAGTCAATAACTCCGCAATTTTGCATGTTCTCATCATCTAAAACAGTTGAATACAAAATTTGTAGCTAACAGTCTATGCCTGACTTGGAAAGTATTTTCATTTATTCAGGGTGATTCATAACATACATTTTATTGCAGATTTGAATAGGACTTTTCAAACAAACAAATTTGCTATAACATACTTATACCACAATACTTTGGCAAGACACAGATATAAATGAAATTAAGACAAAAAATTGATATTACGATACAATCAATCAAAAAATGGTATGACTATTATTTGACTTGCTCCAGACACCATCAATTTGTTGGGATTGACCATTGATCATAAATTAGATTTTATTAATCAAATACAAATTGCTTACTCAACTAGCAAATATTTGCTTTATTATAACAATTAGTTATAATATAGGGAAAAGCACCGCTTTAAGCAGTTACTTTGCCTTATTTGAAAGTAGATTCGGATATAGCGTTTCTTTTTGATGTTTCTGTTCCCAACATTGTTTAAAAAATGTGCTTATTCTACCAAAACGAACTAATATATATATATATATACATATACTCTAAATTCTATAGAATATGTTGAGTAAATTATGATATCATACTCCAAAAATGTCTAAATTTGAAACATTGAATATCTTAATATCTCAGATTAGTAGTACCTAAAACAACACTTGTGAAAGACAAAATAATTTATAGTGGTCTGAAAATTTATGCTCCCAGATGCCATCAAAGGAATTAACAATTTAAAGATATTCCGCAGTGAATTTAAAAACCCTTTAATATGTTAACCATATTATACCTTGTGTGAGTTCTACAATTCACCTACTTAAGATCCATATATGTAACTGTGTTATAGTTTAGTTTTAAGTTAGCTTTGTATTCTTCAAGCAGTAAAGCATATTTAGGGTTTTATTGCCAAATTTTGGAGATATTAGAGAATCAATCGAAAATATTCAACTTTGAAAACTCACACAACCGCACTAGACTATTGAATCTTTCGTTAAAAAACATTATGATCCCATATTTTGTTCCTATCTACTTACTGTTTCAGTATCTCGCATTGTTTATACAGGGTGCTCAGTATGGCAAAATCAAGTGTATCTCAAAATTTTCAAACGGTATAACCTGTCTATTTTAACAGTTTTTAATTCTCCTTTTCACGAGCTTTTTTCTGATATAAGGTATATGGGGGTTTCTACGACTGGTTTTTGAGTAAAAAAGACACCTTGAATTTTCGACTTTATTACATGAGGCTGGATATATTCAATGTAAAATGAAAATACACCAATTCTAAAGATCTGCTAACAACCAAAAGCTATTTTTCATTTTGAAAGATATTGTAATATTTTCCGTTTACCTTGATATCTGATTTGCAAAAAGGTTAGCTATATCTCAAAAATCAGTCGTGTAAACATTCATTAACTTGTTACAAAAAATCTTGTAGAAAGGTAAATCAAGGAGTGTAAAAGCGGGTGTTCCATTTAAACATTTTAAGAACTCGTTCATTTTCGGTTCTTGACCACCCTATATAAACCGTTCGAAAAATTGAAAAAGTAAGCAGATGGGAACAAAATATGGGAGCATAACATTTTTTCCGATGAAAAATTCAATAATCTAGCTTTTACAGTTGCGGAGATGAGAGTTGTCAAAGTTGAGTGCTTATTTCGATAGTTTGTCCAATATCTCATCAATTTGGAAATAAAACTCTACATCAAATTGCTTCGTTTGAAACAGACTATCCAAATCTTCAATAAATTGTAAACCTCTCCTTTATAAAAAATGGATTCTTAGGTCACCACGTAGTTATGGAATACCCTACAGGGTATACAGAAATAAAAATATTTTTTCAGTAAGGAGAATACTGTAGGCTGAAATTTTCGTGATTAACTTTTTTAGATAACGTGCGTAATAACTGAGTTATCGACCGAGTTCACACTAAAGACTCACCCTGTATATAGTACAACAGATCTTAGGTATTAAATTGGAATAATAAAAAATCTCAACAACGCCATGAAAATAGGCTCTTTTTAAAACAACTTTGTTAATTTTGGATCTGTGTACATTAATTTGTCTGCGAGATCTGAACAAACTTGTTCATCGCTTTGAGTGCTTTTTCTGAGGATTCAACAAAACATTCTTCCCGAGTATTTTACTAATTTCATTTTTTGCGTGTTTTTTAGGACTCTTTCAAAGTTTATGGAATACATGCAGGGAATAGGCGTAGATACCAAAGCATTATGGAAAAATTTCCAGTCACTAGTTGTTAAGACGATGATAGCGTGCGAAGCGCCTATCGTAAAGCTTTGCGAAGAAAATATGAGTAACCGGTACAATTGCTACGAATTGTTTGGCGTTGATGTTTTGCTAGATGATAACTTGAAGCCATGGTTGCTAGAAGTAAGTTTTGTTTGGACATCGAAACTGAATTTTTAAGACTTTGTATGAAGTATTTAGACATAGATATGCTACAAAATCATGCTGAATGCGGAATATAAAGGGTAATTTTGAAAATAGTGGAGTTGCAAGGTGTACTAGCTAGAAAAGAAATCTACCTATCCATGAAACGAACGTTTTTTTTTGTAGGTTTGTTTTTTCAGTATAATCCCCTCCTTTTGGCATATATTCAACGAAAAGTTTGCCAATGTCTCAAAAAAAAAACTATTGCCATAAATTTTCCGAAATTTCCAACCTGCGCATTTTTTGTTCAACTGTCAACAGACGTGGAATCTACCTGGCTGACGCCTCACTCATATTCAAATTGTCTCCCAAGATGGCTGTTACGCTGCTTTCCAGCATATTCAATGCCATACTAATAGTACAGACCTTCAAACGACGATCTTCGAGGACCATGGCTGTAACTTTTTGAGGCATTTCATCATTTGTTGCTGTTTTGGGTCTTTCATTTCTGGAATCGTCTTCTATGTATTAACGTCTCCACCGAAACTGTTTCGACCAAAATTTTATTGTGTAATATAACATGATGGTGCATCAACCCCATTCTCGCAAGAATTGTTTTCCGCTGATGGGCCTCTTTTGTCAGAAATTTTATGACACTTTGAGTTACTCAAATATTCTTGCTTGAAATTTCAGGAGTGGCATAGAAATTGGGAAATTTTGACCACAACAGATGAAAAAAATATGTTCCATCACGCTGTATACAGGGCGTTTAATTGGGAGAGGGAGATATTTTAACTACGGATGAATACCACTGGGGTGATTATAAAAAACCTATAGTTGAATCGGTCTTTATCCTCTTATAACTGAGATACATGAGATTTTATCGATTTTGGTCATTATTGCGTCATAACTTTACAACCAACCTACGAGGCCCTTCCCACTTCAGTTGGCTCACTTCAAGATTTGTACCAAAATATGCCTTTATAAACTAAACATGACGAAACTATTTAACAACAATTTATTTTCTCAAAAACATTTTAGATACACTCTAGTCATAAAAAATACATATTTGAAATCACTTAGACCTATAACTAATAGAACAAATAAACAATGTGCGAAGAAATGCGCGAAGTTAACAAAGCAATAATTGAAAGATTACCAATGGGTTACATCACCTTTATTTTTTATTACGGCTGAAATTCTTTGGGGCATAGTGTTAACCAAGTTTTGTCAAAAATTTGGTGTAACACAATCCCATATTTGTTGAAGCTTTTGTGTCAGTTCGGTGATTGTACGAGCAGGATGTTGTCGTAGAACCTTTTTCATCTCGTGCCACAAAGTTTCAATAGGTGACAGATCTGGACTGCTAGAAACCCATTTCAAAAGTGGTACATTATTTTCTTCTATCCATTTTATAGACTTTTTTGAGGTATGGCACGCTGCACCATCTTGCTGAAACACAAACGGATGTCAAACATTCTTCCATCACTGGTAAAAGCGATTCTTCTAAAATTGCCAAATATTTGTTTGTATCCACATTTCCATCAATAAAATGAAATTTTCCTACTCCTTTTGATGATATACTGCCCCAGACCATAATGAATGCTGGAAATTTCACTTTTCTCTTCAGACAGTCAACATGGAATGCTTCATTTTTTGCGAATAGCTCTACTGCGACTGTCACCAACACAAACTTCGAATCGGGCCTCATCACTCCATTGTATTGCACACCATTGTTGAGGTGTCCATTGTCTATGTTCTTTAGCCCATCTAAGCCGATTTTTCTTTTGCAGTGGAGTTCATAGCGGCTTTTCTTTGGCCTATAAACAAGTTGTGCAACTTTAGGGTTTTTACTTCACTTTTTTTTATAAGAAAACTTACCTTTCAAGTGCTAAATCCCAGTTTGTGGGCCTCTCTATGAGTTGTGGACCTCGAAATTCTCCTTCCAACAGCGTCACTCCACAGGGAACTTAATTGTAAATAATTGGCATGCCTGTTTTTCACGATTATTCTTAATGCTCTTCGGTCGGCATTTGTGATATTACTTTTTTTCACATATCGTGGCTTAATATTAACTGAACCAGTTACGTTATATCTTCTAACAATATTTCTCACACTGTACCGCGATAAGACTAACAAAGTTGCAATTTCTGAGTTTGATTTCCCAGGATTAAAAAATTTAATTATCAGTAATATTTTAAACCCCTGCTACATTTTTATTATTTGTGTTTGATAAGAAAAAAACTAAGATTTCAATAGTTGGGCCAACTGAAGTGGGAATGGGCTCGTATATCCTCAAACTATATTATACAAAGGATACTATAAAAGTTTTGCAATACAGCTTTATTTATTGACTCCGTTCAAAGTAATTCCCACCACATTCAATACAATTATCCATCCACCAAAACCAGTCCTTGGACCAGCTATGCCAAGTTTCACCCGGCAGTGCGGCTCGTTGTCCCAAGCCCTAAGAAGGTCCTCATCGCTAAAAAACCGTTTTCCTTTTAGTTTCATTTTCACATGCGGAAACAGTGCAAAGTCGCAGGGAGCAAGATCTGGACTGTAAGGAGGGTGCTCAATAAGTTTCAGTCCAGTGGTGGTCAAATACTCGGTGCAGGCTTTGGCGCGGCGAGCTGGAGCATTGTCATGGTGGAGGTACCAAGTGTCCATTCTTGCCTTCGGTCGCAGGTTTTCCATAGACTCTAGGACTTGAGGCATGCACTGTTCCATGTACCACTTAGCTGTGACTGACTTCTGTGTGTCCAGAGTGATACGCTCCACAATCCCGTTTAATTTTTTTCTTAACAGGTCGAGATTTTGTGACAACTACGGGTGTCCTTATCGTCAAAGACCCAAACTTTGTTTTGAGCCTTGGTCGGCACATCGTAATAATAGAGCCAAGTCCCGTCACCTGTCACGATGCTGTTCACATACCGAGATTGCCCCTTATCAAACATGTTCAGCATCTTTCGGCACCAAGTCGTACGAAGAGTCTTCAGCTCTCCGTCAGACTATGCGATACCCAGAGGGAACAAAGTTTCCTTACGTGTAAATTGCTGGTGCATGAAGGTGAAAAGTCTCCTCTGTGTGTTGACATGTCACTCTCTGGTCTTTGTCAAGCATTTTCCTCACAGCAGTAATGTTTTCCTCTGTTACTGACGTTCGCGGCCTTTCTTCCCCCTCAGCGTCCTCCAGAGAGAAATTGCCCTTTTGAAATCCTCTGTGCCACCTATACGTAGTCGGACGATGATGGCAATCATTCTTTAATGAAAGCGACATTTCTTCTAAGCACTGGTCTATGCTTAAACCACGCGTAAAGTTATACCGTAAAACTGCCCTTATATCACTGCGCGACTACGATGCCATAGTCTCAACATGCAGCCTCCTGCGTCCGTTTGTTAAGTCACATTGCAAAAACTTTTATAGTACCCTTTGTATTTTCAAGCTTGGTATGCATATCCAGATCATCCTAACGAATCGATTGTGATACCAGCGCGAAAAGAAGTATAGGTTTGAGCTCATTTGCAGTTTTCAAACTTATTCTGTCCAAAAACAGTCAGCCTTCCCCTATGGCACAAATTCCGTCAATGAGAAGGCGTTGTTGAAGTAATAGATCTAATGAATATAGTCGATTTCTTGTAAAATATTCCACAAATTAGAGAAAAGTTATACGATTTTTGTGAGATGGGCTCCTAATTCTCACGTAGTGACAGCAAGACAGATAGTAACGCCACTTTTATTAATCCGTGAATGTATTTATTACAATCCCAGTGAATGTTCAAACTACCTTCCTTCAGCAGCAGTGAAAGCTTACATCTTCTTAAAAATGATCTGCAGGGGTATCATGTAAAAAACCTGAAAAACGTAAAAAAACCGAAAACATGTCATCTTGCCGACTATGTAGTTTTTAGTGTGCACATATTTCATTCTAAGAGCCGTTTCAGATGTAGCTGACGCTCAGCGCTGACCGTCAGTGATGATGAATATATGTATTAGCGTAAATGAATCATTTCACATGCCTTGCGTATGATCCGTCGGGCGTCTGCTGAGCCCGAGCTGATGCTCACCATCAGCACGAGGTAGGGCCATTGTAGATTTGGTATATTTCACATGCAAGCTGATGGTCGGCGAGCGGTGTTGCAGTGTTTTCCTGATTTGGTTTGTTTATTGGTGTGTTTGTATTTGCCGAAAGTGTATAAAATGAGTGACAGGAAAAGTAATAACATTTATATTGATACCGAACTATTAATAGCTGCAATACAAGAAGAAAAATTTATTTGGGATTTCTCTTGCGAGGATTATCAAAAACCGTGATAAGAAATATGCTGCTTTTGAACGTTTGGCTGAAATAGTGTTTGCAGATTTTTGTAATATGTCTGAGCAAGAAAACAAGGATTCAGGTAAACAAAACAGGTTGATATTAGATTGCATAACTGTTATTGTACAAGAAATAGAAACTCGTATTTTGTCAGTAAATTCCAGGTTACATTCTAATTTGGAATGCAGTTCGTCAAAGAATTTCATTGACATTCGAAAATATTTTTAAAATTTGCTTTCATCTTCTGAGGCTGGCGTATAATGTTACGAATGCACCTGCTACGTTTCGCTCTAGTACAAGGGGGTGTACCCACAACCTCTTTTTCATCGGTTTTTGTTGTCGTCTTGTACGTAAAATAATATAAACGGCAACGGCGCGCACGATGTTGTTTCGCACATACATATTGAACAACTGATCATACGCAGCATGTGAAAACGCGATTGCATAGGTGCTAACGGTCTGCACCGAACGTCAGCGCTGAGCGTCGGCTACATCTGAAACGGCTGTAAAGCGTCCATTTATGGAGGAGTGACTCAACGACCTCCGACACGCTCATGCATGCATTGTTGGTTGCAGAAAGGCATGTAGTGTTTCGAAGATGTGAAAGAAAGAATCTCGAGTAGCAAGAGCGCATCTGGACGATTATGTGTATTATGTGAGAAAATTATTACTGAATATTCTGCCAATGAAGTGTATCTATTAGCTGTGCCCGACGGTTTATGTATGTGTTGTCCTTTCTGAAGACAGGTTATGTTCAAAGTCATAAATTACGATTTTTCCCGTTTTTTTTGGGTTTTCAAAAACTTTGAGGGGAATTACGGGAAATCACTACCGCGCCAGCGTTATGTGTAAATACTGTTAGCACTATATATGACTTGTAATTCAACAGTGTACAGTGAATATATTGCAAGTAATTACCTCACCAACCATCTCTCTCATTTATTAAGTTCAGCAAATTTGCATATGTAATTTCCAGAATGAATAAGAAAAAGTGGATGCGCAACTAATTTATAGCTTTGAATACATCTCAAGTAAGTGTATTTGAGGCCAGAAACCAATGGAATTATCACCAACACAAATTATTAGCACACAAATCCTCACCATGCACTGCCGTTCCCTTCCAGCTATAGTATACAACTTCCAACTTAGACCTCAAATAATGCCATCTCTGAAGCAGATGTTACATCACATCAGAGCCAAACATTGATAGCTGAAGCATTATCACGTTTAGGTAACTCGTACAGCTACAAAACTTGTTCACAACACGTTTCAACAGCTAGTGCTAACTTGACATCTTGGAGAGAAACCCACGTTCTGTCACAAAAAACCTAATAAGTGTCAAAAAACGACAAAGATACGTAATACCCCTGCGGGTTATCAGACGTGCGAATCTTCCGTTATTAACAAATTCAGCTGATTCCGTTTTTCTGTCCCGTAGCTCAGCTAAATTTTCGATTGGATTTGAGTAAACTTTTTCTTTCACCGCTCCCCAGTAAAAAAATCGAGTGGATTAAAGTCAGGTGAATTGGCTGGCCACGAAATTGTACCAGACCGCCCTATCTATCTGCTCTGGTATTCAGCATCAATATATTCTCTAACTGAACGGGCATAGTACGCCGAGCAGCCGTCTTACCTGTACCACGTGTCTCTGTAAATGCTTAGTTGCACCTCTTCCAATAAATTTGGTAAATAATTTTGTAAAAAGTCTAAAATTTCGCCATTCAAGAACAAGCAGCTCAAAGGGTACAATGATTCTCTCATTGAGAATCCCGATCCACATGTTTACTTTAAAACGATACTGAGATCTATCTTGTCTCAACAAATGTGGATTTTTTACATCCCACTCGTCTGGTTCTGCGTAACCATCTTCTTTAAATGTCGACTCATCAATCCATAAAATTTTCTCTAACAATCGCGGTGTCTCTGTAACTTTGACAAATTCAACTCTTGTGTTGATTTGGGAATCTTTCCTTTGTGAGTAAACGGTGCATATTCACGAAAACTCGCTTAATGGGGATGACGAGCAACATTTAGGTAGCTCTCTCGATAAAGCCTAACATTGCATCTGCATTCCCTATAAATAAGGTGCATGTTGGCGTATTCCTGTATGTTGTACACAGACATGGTGGCGCTATACAATCATGAAGTAATAAGAGTAGCGTTACTATCTGCCTTGCTGTCACTACATAGAATGATAGTCTGTCACTCCGCCTAAGAAAAAATTTGTACAAGGTGTAGATTTTTCCGATTTTTTCAGTCTATAATTTGAAAAGTACACGACTTATTTTTTTATATTTTTTTCTGATAACTATTATGACTTATTCATTATTAATACCCTCTCCCAATGAAACAACCTGTATGGAATGACCCTATTCTTGTTTTCTTGCATCAGGTGAACATATCCCCGAGCCTGCACAGCGCGTCGCCCCTAGATGCTCACGTGAAAGGGCCCATGGTACAAACGCTCTTCAACATGGCCCAATTTCACCTGCCTCAAAGATTGGCTATGCAATGTCGCAACTGTCCACCATGTTACGAACCGAAACTGTACTCAACTAATTTGACCAAAAAAGAGCGGTCGAAACATACTAAGTACGCACAAATGGGAAATAGGGAGGATTATTTGGAGGCTATGTTGAAGGATATTACGGGAGATGATGTGAGACAGTTAACCAGGGCGGAGGATGAATTTGTTGTCAAGGGCAGGTAAGGAGCTTTGAAAATCTGAACATATTAGAGATAAGATTCAAATGTGATAAAAATGTCTTGGATATTATATTTGTTTTGAATACTATCTAAACAAATATAAGGCACGTCATCGCCAAAGGCATTAGCCCTGGGGTATCGGAGATAACAAATGGTGTTTCGCAGGGGTCAGCACTTGGCCCTCTAGTGTTTCTTATCTACATTAATGATCAGGCTTGGAGTATTATCATTGGCTTTCTATTCGCTGATGATACTGCACTACACACTTTTTACGTGACAAGGATTTTACGCCTATTGTTGAAGTTGATTTTTTCAAATTAGTTATTTTAATAGGTTCGAGAAAATTTTTCCAACCTCGCAGTCATTCAAGTACCTGAATTTCATGGAACCTCGCTACTACAATAGGTTGTTTGATGCTTGGGAAACGAAGTATGAAAATAATAGAAAAGAAGGTAAGAAAAAATAGCAATAGCCTTTTTAAAATCTGCCTAAAAGTGAGTATAGTATGATCGAATTTTCCTTTTTTCAGGTATCGCTTTATTACAATCCCTGTGTGCGAAAAAAGTGCACTTAAAAGTTGCTTCACCCAATTACTTTAGTGAGGTGAGTTCATCCTGATAGATATAAACCAATATAAAACTAATCTTCTATAGCATCATGTAATATTCACTTTCTAATGTCACTTTCAATACAGCGTACACATATTTCAAAAGATGCTAACATATGAGATAGCCGGGGTTTAAAAATGCCAAAATCGTCAAGATACGGTTGATTTTTGGTTTAGGATTTAACATTCTAGAATCATAAGGATTACTTATGGACCTTCTATAGGTTGGCCCATTTTAATCTCCCATCCTAAATATTTCGAAAACTACGCAAAATGATTATGATGATGACCGTGAATCGCAGCGATCTTCAAGGTCAAGCAAATGTTTTCAAATAGAACTCCGATTCCTTACAACGAAATTGAAAAGAGGAGGAAATTGTATATCCAAATATTATCTTTATATGACCAAAGCCTTCAAGGCTATTTCAAGGTCAAATGACATTGAAAACAATTTGCTCTAGAAAGAAAGTTTGACAGCACAGTCGTGAGCTTTGCGGGAGTTACCAAAAGGTCATGTCAACATTTTACCCATTTAGATATAAGATTTCTTATCAATAGCTTTGGTCAAAAAATCAAGAGGTTGTTTTCAATGGCTTTAATTGTGCTTAAAATGACCATGAAGGTCATGGTTATGGTCAAGGTCATAGTTGAAAGTATTTCCTTTTCCCAATTCCACTATTAAATATTCGCTTGGCCTTGAAGTTTGTAGCAAAGGTCATTGTCAGTGTCATCGTTCTTTTATCCCATAGAAAACCCTACCATTGTTGTTTGAAACTTCTTAAATGTTATTAATTTGTAAGGCAACCTCTTGATATTTTTATGCCAAAGCTGTAGAGTGCAAGCAATTTTATGTTTAAACGCGTTAGATGGTGACATGATCTTGAAGGTGATGCTCAAATTCATGGTGAAGGTCAGCTTTTGGTGATCTCCTCAAAGCTCACTGTGCTGTCAAACATTTTTGCTAGAGAAAATTGTTTTCAATGTCTTGGATTTGATCTTGAAATGGCCTTGTATGTCATGGTGATAGTTATAGTCAAGATCATATTTGAACATAGAATTTCCTCCTCTTTTCAATTTCAGTGTAAAAAGGGAGAGTTCCAGTTGAAAATATTCGCTTGACCTTGAAAGTCGTGGTCATCGTTATGGTCAAAGTCACCATCATTTTGCCCTCTACGTCTTTTGTTTGAAATTTTGTTTCTAGAATGCGCAGTTGTTGATATATCTAGATGGGGAGGTTAAATGGCATACCTTATATATCTTCTATTATATTGTAACAAGATGTAAAATAGTATTAGTCAAATGCAACAATTCTTACTTTTCCTTTGATTTTTCTTTGAATGCGTTTACGCTGTGAAACACCTGCACTACAACACATATCTATCTTTTTGTTTCCCGTGTCACCGTGTGTAAGGCGAAAAATTTCGTCCTGGCTACCATACAGACCATTTGTTCCCAATGCCGCAGTAAGTCAGAGTCTATCAGTGGGTCGTACTACGCATATGTGTTTTTTAATCTTACAAGATAACATTTACGAAGGCCTATTGTAAAAAATATTCGACGCTGAATTTTTCACGCATACTATGATGCTGAACGCAGATAGAATTAAGAGTTCTAAAATTCAAAGCTGAATCCGGGTATAAATTCTGACAGAATAGCGCTAGATTCTAGTTTTAGCTGACTATAGCCATTGATTAATGTACCTGAAGATATCTATCTACATACTGTACTCCGGAGCCCAAAAAGGGGTTTTGAAAGATACTAATGCCATCTGTGCGACAGTAGCAGTACTTTGCAAAGAGAATGAGTGAGTTCTGCTATTTGATTGATGACGCTAGTATCTTTAATTACTACGCCACTCTCTATTCTATCTATAATGTTCTTAAACCCCTAAGTCGAGCTTAGGACGTCGGTGAGAAACCACCGTCGAGTTCTATTTTGCGCCAGAGAGTTTACTTCTTTCCTCGTTTTGCATTGACTTAATAGACAAATCTATAATTGATCTTCTCCAAGTTTGAGCTGGCCGTCCGCTCTTCCTGACGGGGAAGTATTGTGATCTCGAAAAGGATTATGTTTTTTTGGATGTTATATGACATGTACATCACGACAAACACCATGTCACTTATTTCCGTCTATCTGTCTGTCCGCTAATCCTATAACCGCCTATTACTTGAGAAGTACCGCTTGTATTTTTATGGATTTTCTTTACAATGTTACTACCATGCCAAGGACGAAAAAGGCAAAAACGAAAAAAAATCGCTCAAACTTTGTTTTTGGCGTTTTAGTTGGATCCTGATCAATTTTTTAACATTGGTATATTTATACGCCTCAAAGCCCAGTAACTCTACACACCTATTAGGCATATCTCACTCATTATAGATATCCCCGTACATTTACTCTTAAAACTTGAACATATTTATTTATATCCAATTGTCGCGTGTCGATGCGTACGACGTGGTCCCTCGATGAACTAGTGTCGTACGACACAGTCGGCAATCGCTTTTGCACTGATGTGACCTGGGGCCTGCGCACATTGCGCATGGTCAAGGCCAATATTGTCATTCACGCGGGATTGGTCATCGCAATGATACTCTGATTTCTCTCAGGGGAAGGAAAAAGGAATTTTGTTATACATGTTCGTTCATTTTCCTCAGAAGGGTTAACTTTTGCCAAACATAATCCTGTAGGAACTGATAACTGCGTTACAGTCAACTTACTCGACGCTATTTCTTCCCTGGGGATTCCAATTTATGACGCCGTTTCTCCCAAGATGACTCTACTTTATGGCAGTCTTTGTAGGTGTTCTCTTTCCGATGAGTGTGGACGATCCAACCCCATTTTCTAAACCTGTTTTATATCTCTATCCCCTTCTGTTTGGTCAAGTCTAGCAGACCTTCGTTTCTTGTATTATTACACCAGAAAATACGAAGGATTCTTGGCAGGCACTTGTTCATAAACATCTGAAGCTTCTCAATAAGATTTTTTTTTTCACACCCATATAGCAAAACAGATTTTACATTCAATTGAAATATTCGTATCTCTATATTTTTTGTGTACTGACTAGATCTCAAAACGGGCATGCTGAATGCTTGCTGGGCATTTCCTTTTCTGAATATCTTTTTCTGTGCCTCCATTTTCTGTTATTGCACTTCTAATTTTTAATTAGGTATCTTCAGGAATTGATAAATGTACACCACCTGAGGATTCCTAATTAAAATAGGCTAAAAAGGGATTGAAAATCCTTGCGCCATATATCGGACAGAATCAAACATTCAAACTCTTTTCAAAATACATTTCTGCATTCATCGTCGTGTTCTGCTAGTGACTCATAGATGACGCTAGGAACTTTTAGATTCCTTTTTGTGCGCGAAAATACAGTATACGGTTGACTATTCTCAAGTAGAAAACGTTAATCAATGGTATATACAAAAACCATTTGTGTCTATGCGAAAATTCAGGGTTGGATACTTTTTAAGTGATTATTGCACTACAAAAGGGATAAAACGGAGCTTTAAAATGGTCTCCTAAGTATGTGAAAAATTTTGATCAAAAAATTGCGTTAGACTGCTCCTAACAATTGGAAGGGCTCAAAAATGACGAAGCTTGATATACCGGGTGGCTGATTAATCGTCATCAAGTGGAGGGGCCCACCTTTCTGGGGCTTCATGACAACGTTTAAATAGCTACAACCGTTCTACAAAATATTAAGATAATAAATTTGATCTATTTCATTTCACTCTTAAATATTGGATAACCAAATTAGTCTGTTATACACGGTGTACCATTTTAATTTCCCCGCCTAAATAATTCGAAACTGCGCATCTTAGAAAAAAGTTTCAGACAAACGTTGTACAGCTTCGAGGGGGGGGAATTATTTTGACCTTGATTACGGCCTTTGAGGTTATTTCAAAGTCAAGTGATTATTTTACGCCCGAATGTCACCTTAGCCATGACCTTGACCACGCCCTCCAATGTCAAGTAAAAATTTCCAAAAGAAACCTCTCATTTTTATACGGGAAAAGGTAAAAGCAGGAAAGTTTACATCCCTATATAATCTTAACTTCAAAGTCAAATGTCATTTGAGGTCAAGGTCACATTCGAACGTAATTTTTTTGCCTTTTCCATTTCCAGCATAAAAGATTTTCTTTGGAAATGTTGACTTGATCTTGAGGGTCATGGTCATTTAGGTTATCCTGGCAAATCTCAGCTGTGCTGTCGAATATTTTTTTCAGAGCAAATTGTTTTTGGTGTCCTGATTTGACCTTGAGTATTAAAAAAAAATTGCGTAACTTTTTCCAGTACAGACGCCAGGGGATCTGTTTGAAAAGATTCAGTTGACCTTGAAATTATATTGAAGGTCAGCATTTCGCCCCCTCGAAGCCATACAACTTATGTTTGAAACCTATTTTCTTGAATGCGTAATTTCGAATTATTGAGGTAGGAAGATAAAAATGGTGCACCATGCATATTGGCCACTATGGATTTTTTTCTGTCAGAAGAGTTTTTGTAGTGTAATAATCGCTGGTCATAGGCATCCTAAAGCTTTTGTCAACTAAATTCTACGTGTGTGATATCTAGTTCTAATCATGCCCACCGCAGGGACGATAGCGTTTGTAGCAACGGTAGTTTGATCGACAGAAAAGGTGGTTAGTTTTTATAGACTCAAATATTTAGGAGGATGCTCGTCTTCGTGAAATATGTGGGTATATGTATTTAGGATGTGTAGATTATTTAGATCGATGTTTCTAGAATAGAATGTATTTTGAGAGTGCACAGCTTCAATAATGTTATTCAAAAGTCAGTCAAATACAGGTTTCTCAGTGAGTAAGAAGTCAACGCCTTACAGTCCACCGATATTCCAATGCTCAAGTTTTTTCAATAGGTTTCGAAATGGATGGTATTTTCTCGTGGTTAATTGTTCAGCCTAAGTTGAAACCCATGTATTTACAAGAGTGTGAATCCAGCTTGCCTTTCTGATGATCGATCAGAAATGTTAGCAGACCTTGCGAAAATGTTTGAGCATCCAAGAAAAATGTCTATTAAAATTCTTGATAGTAGTCTTGAGGCCCTGTTGACATAATGTAATGTATTATTGAAACGAAATTCGTAGAAACTACTACGTATTTGTGGTATGTATTTTCATCAAAAAAAAAAAAAACATTTCAACCTCTGCCAATTATAAATGTACGTATTGTAGGTTGAATATTATTTATCACCAACCCTGATTCACATTATGTTGCAATCAGTTCATACTTGATGATCCATTATTGATCTCGTATTTTTGTGTTGATTGGTGTTTTTGTGGTTGTTTTATTTTAAAACCAGTATATTCTATTACTTCCTACGCTACTGGGCGAGGAAGTACTGTATACTCCAAACATTTCGAAAATGAGATATTGTGTTTTTTGTATGTTATATGACGTTTAGTTCACGAAAAAGATGTCACGCATTTCCGTCGATCTGTCTGTCTCCGCTAATCATCGGCCTGTCTATAACTAGAGAAGTACCGCTTGGATTTTGATGAAATTTTCACACAAGCTTGCTACTATATGAAGAACGAAATTTTTTTTTGAAAATCGGTCCAGTGGCGGCGGAGAAAAAAGCCAAAAACGAAAAAATTCAAATCGCTCAAACTTCGTTCTTTTATGTTTCAGAGGGTCCTGATCATTTTCAGAAATTTTTTTGTTAGAGATGAAACTCGGGGCTTATCGGGTGGGGGAGGGTACATGAATATTTTTAGATCTTAGTATATTTATACGCTGCCCCGGTAATTCTATGCACCTCTTAGCCATATTTCACATATCATGGATTTCCCGGTACACTGGCCTTTAGAACCTAAAATGTTGGAGAAATGTTTTCGATCCGGCTACTCCTGCTATCTAACCGCCCGGGCTATGCGTAAAATGAACGATAATTTGCTGGGCGCTGTCGCACAGATATGGAAAGAGACAACGTTGCCAGATGGACAGTAACTACCGGTAAGGCAGGGAAATAATGTCTATAGAGTAATTGTATAGGCCTGTTTGACTGACTGAACCTGTTTAATTTGCTGATGTACATGTTCGTACCTGAATTTTTTCTCAGTGGATTTAAAATGTGTTGATTTTAATCCGTTATGAACTGATGGCGTCGTTGAGTAGGAAATGGAGTCAACCTACTTGGAGCCTTTTTTTTGTTTCTATGACTCCTTAGGACATATTTTCTTTAGTCGATGGGTCGTTTTCTTGTCGATTTTCTGTATGTTTTTAATTTCTGAAGCTGAAGCAAACAACTCTCGAAATACATTTAGTTACCTCATGGATAGATTTATGTTTTTTACAACAGCAATTTATTGTTTTTAAAGAAAAATAGAATCTAGTAAAATAGCTTTCACTCGTTATCAATGTTTAATATCTCAAGAGAAACCCACTAAAAATGTTAGTTGACTAAGGAAATAGTATTTTAGATACTATTCTTATAGAGTGGCATTGTGAAATTGTACATACATTTTATTTTACTATAATGGAGCTAGGCGCTGGCAATGTGCTACGATTACATGTATGTTATTAATCATTCTAACAGTGGTGTGGAACTAAACTGGGATTCTAATATGCAAACACTTGAGATTTTATACTCGTTTACAGTCAGCAAGATGCATGAAAATTGTTGATCAGACGCATGCGCACAAAACCGCTGATTATTCCTGTCATTTTCTTGTAACTGCCAAGTTTTGCTTGGAATTCAATCGGATGGATTTCTTATACAAATGTGTCTGCAATTGTCGTCGAAGTATATACCTGTACATATGTAGGTATATAAGTAACTTGCAATTTACCAATGCATTCAAATACCCTCAAGCTCAGTCCCGATGGTTTGTGCGATTATATTTAATTGTTTGCAGATACAGTTTTTAAAAGCGGAAGATGGATATATAAATAAGTCCAATTTTAAATGTATGTTTTTTATTTTTAATATAAAACGGCGAAAACACTATCGGTCATGATGTGACGTCATACAAATTGTAATCAAAAAGTCATCTGTATGCCAGTCGTGGACTAACTGTATGTCAGTTGTGGACTAACGCTGTCTTTGAATATTTTTAAAAACGATGATTACTATATTTTTCATGTAAACAAGTGACAAGTTTATATGTTTGAAAGAGGTTATGCTGGTGTTTACAAAGGGTATGGCGTCAGAACACATTAATATGAGTCAAACATGACGGACAGCGTCTTCGCCTGTCTAGGAAAAGTATATTCATAAAATTTTACGGGTATTTTTTTTTTCTTTGATAGAACAAATATTAACTGTTTAAGCCCATTTAAAAAAGTTTCAACTAGCCTATTGTATATATCTGAATACATTTGATTGTTTTGATTTTGGATGGTCGTGATTGAAATTAGTTCTGCGATATTGAATCCATGTGCAGTGAAACGAAAATTATAAGTTTAGAATGTGACAGTGAATATTTCATTCGTTCAGGTTGGTTAACTTCGCTCGTGTGAATAGGGGAAAAAGGGCCGTCTTGCAACTGCAAGTGATTTGATGCAACTGTCTTGCAGTCAAAAGAATTCCGTCTTGCAAGTGCAAGATCTTGAGCGAATAAAACGTAGAAAAGCGAGAAGTATTCCATTTCAAATGCGTCAAGAAAGGGTCATTCGTGACAATATAACACCAACTGCAAGTCATTGGATGCAATTACATTACAGATAAAACAAAGCCGTCTTGCAACTGCGAGAGCTTGCAGTCGACGGTCTTGCGGACTGTAAAACGGTTTTTTAGATGTACTAATAACTACGTGCGGGAAAAATCCGTGAGGCTATTGGGTACATAACATACATAGTGTTGTACTTTGCCCGTCCTTAGCTTAAATGTGCATGTTGATAACTAACGGAGATCTTCTCCTTAAAAACGTTTTTTGTATTAAAGAATATGAACGCTTCAACCAGTTATTAAACTTCATAGTTCAATTGAATGAATATAACTGCAAAATATCACCAAAATAACTTTGAATATTGAACCGACACATGCACTAATTTTTTGTAAACACAACATTGTCACCGATAATTCTTAAAAAGGAGCGGCTGATTTTTAACCACTAACAGCAATCGTATTTTTATTGAACATTGAGCATTATTTGTTCATATTTATTATTTTTTATTCCTAAACAGAGTGGTCAGAATATGAAGCATTCAGAGGCGAGTATTCAACCATCAACGGAGGGGCAGAGCTATCCTCTGGAAGAGATACTGCGCCAGGCCAGTATAACTAACGAGGTACCACATTAACATGTTCGTTGGGTGAAGATGTTCCACGTGAGTGAGGTTAGTTGGTCTGATAAAAATGAAAAAAAAACTATTTCACGAGTATCCATTACGTTTTGACGCCTGCTGAGGTGAACAGCCTATCAGCAAGTGACATATTTGTATTAGTTGGCAATAATTAATCGGTCTAAACCTAATAAAACTTGGGACCATATTCAGAGCTGTTATTCACATATCTAGATACTTTTAGGGACTGGGACTTTTGGCAATAAAATATACGAAGTGCACATAGAAAAATGTTTATTAGAAAATTATTATAATACATCTGGAATTTATTGATTACGAAGTCAATAGAACATGCTGGTGTCATTTCCAGTAGGTATAATGTTACATGTAAAACTAATATAGACACGCGTGTATGGTTAGTTGTCTATGACTTCTTTATACTTGAAATTATTTTCTACTCTTCAGTTCGATTTGTTATTAAGGCGTCTTTTTATTTTAGTTTTTTGAAACTATAATTTGTTTTTAGTCTCAAAATGACAACAAAAGTACTTACAATCAAGATATTCGATTTTTTTTCGAAATCCCCAATTTCTTTCAAAATTTACATTTTTAAAATTTATAAATCATTTTCCAAATTCCAAATTTACGAATAAAAATAATAAATATAAATTCACGTTTAGAACTTGACAAAATATATTCAGCAATTCTAAAATACAATATTTCTGATCATTTTCCTACTTTGCTCAAAATCGATCTTGAAAGTACATCAACCAAAATTGAAAAGACAGTGAATAATACAAAAATTTACATTGATTATGAAAAACTAAATAACAACTTACTCAATGAAAATTGGATTGTAGTATATAACGAACCTAATATTGAAAATGCATTTGTCCTTTTTATATCTAGCATTGAAGGCCATATTGCTGAATGCACCAAAACAGTAAAGATTCCACGAACACAAATAAAAAGACAAGCATGGATATCAAAAGGGATTATTACCTCCATCAACAAAAAAATAGAATTATATAAGGAAACCAAAAAATACCCTTATGATGTTAAACTTTTGAATGAATTTAAATCATATCGAAACAGACTGACAAAAATAATTAAAGAGGCTAAAATTAAATATCTCCAAGACGAGTTTGATAATCTACAAAATTGTTCGTCCAAAATGTGGCAATTTATCAATAAAATACAAGGCAAAAAACAAAACAACAAAATTAATACAATTAAAAAAGAAAATGGTGAACTAGTGAGTAATGATGTAGATATAGCAAATGAATTTTGTGAATATTTTTCAAAAATCGGGAAAAGGTTGTCAGAAAGCATAAAAAACGCGGAGAAATTAAATTATAGTAAGACCAGATTATATAACTCATTATATTTGGAACCGACCGATACGCATGAAATAAAGACAATAATCAATGAATTGAAATTAAGAAAATCTCCAGGTCTAGATAATATAACAGCGTATACTCTCAAAAGAATAAATTGCAACATCTGCGGCATACTATCATATTTGATAAATTCTTGTATGAATAAAGGAATATTCCCTTCATGTTTAAAACACGCTATGGTAAAACCATTATTTAAATCTGGAGAAAGAGAAAAACCCATCAACTACCGACCAATTTCCATCTTAACAAATTTTTCTAAAATATTTGAAAAAGTGTTAAAAAAACGATTCACCGAATTTGCAAAAAAATATAACTTAATAGCGGAAGTGCAATATGGTTTTCAAGAAGGCAAATCTGCTCAAGATGCTATTGTAAAATTAACAAATAAAATATACACGAATCTCGATATTGGCAAACCAACTGCTTGTGTTTTTGTTGACTTGGCAAAGGCATTCGACTCTATTACTCATGAATCGCTTTTAAAAACTTTAGAAAACTTAGGTTTCCGGGGAATAACATACAAACTTATAGAAAATTATTTGTCAAATCGAACACAGTGCGTCAAAATTAATAACACATTCAGTGAACCCCATATTATATCACACGGTGTACCTCAAGGCTCAGTATTAGGACCCATTTTATTTAATCTATTTATCAACGATTTGTTCAAAATAAATAGTACAGGTAAAGTTATCGGTTTTGCGGATGATACAGCTATTCTCTATGAAAGCAACCAGTGGCATACACTAAAAACCACAATCGAACATGATTTCAAAACATTTATAAATTTCTTTTCGGAAAGAACTTTGACAATTAATTACAACAAAACACACTATATAGCATTTTCTTGTAACGACAGGCTCTCACCGCAATTTAAAAAACTTGAAATTCATACAAGCAGTGGTCTCAAAGAGATTCAGTCAGCCGATAAAATAAAATACTTAGGCGTGATTTTGGATAAACACTTAAAATGGGATACCCATACAGAGTACCTTGTGAAGAGACTGAGATGTATTATTCCAAAATTCAGGTACTTCAGAGATATTCTAGATAAGAAATATCTATATAATCTATATTATGCTCTTGTTTATCCTCTATTACTTTACGGAATTTTGGCTTGGGGGGGAGTTATGAATAATAATTACAAAAAGGTTGAGGTCATCCAAAAATTAATTCTAAAATTGATCCTCCATAGGGAGATTACTTATTCAAGTGATTTTCTATATGTGGAGGCTCAGCTATTAGATTGCAGACAAATTTATTTTTATTGTGGTCTAATACATTATTTCAAATATTCAAAATACTTTAATCGTACCATTCATAACTACCGAACAAGATTCAATCAAAATTCAATGTGTATTCCACAAACATCAAAAACCATTACACAACGATCTCTGTTTTTCTTGGGACCAAAATTCTATAACTTCATACCAGAGTCATTAAAAGTAATTAAATCAAATAAATCATTTAAAAAAGAACTAAAAAAATGGATTTTACAACAACCAAGGTACTCCATCCACGAAATTGTAGATCTGAAAAATCATTATCAAAATCAATAATATTTTACTTACACTAACATCCATACTTCTACTTCAGTTCTAATTGTCTGGATATTTTTCCTGACATTACCATAATAATTCACCAAATTATACAGTATTAACGGGTTTTTTCTTTTTTTTTTTTTCATACACTGACTGTACTATTAGTTTTTATTTTGTACAAACCCAAACACAAGTGCAAACTTTTTTTGGGTGCTTTATGTTTATTGTGCACAATATTTGATATTTACTTGTATTTTGTGACAATAAACATTATTATTATTAAATTTATTCCAAATTACAAAAATCAAATTTTAAAAAAAAATTCAAATCTAAATTTTTTCCAACAGCATTGTTAATTGTCATTGGTCCTTGACTCCAGTGCAAAAATTTTAAAGTCAATCAAACTTCTTGAAATTGGTGAAAATTAGTTTGAAAGACCCTGTAATATACATACATACAGATTAAGTTAATGAAACCGTATTAATAAGGCGTAACTAGTCGCTAGTAAACTTCTCCCTAACCGCCGACCCAACAGCCATACTTAACGCGCATATTAGCACCGAAATCTGACTAAACGTGGACCCAGCTTAGCTTCTATATTGAGCGCTCAAATACGACAGAAACTGTTCTGCTATTGCAAAGTTGATTTTTTAATTGTGGAGAGCCGCGGAACTGTAAGCGCGCTCAGATATAATTAAGGTAATAAGGTAATCGACACCCGAGCCATACAAAGACAATGTAGGATTGGCACGTACCTGGGTGTTCCTGTCACCTACGACAGTTGCCTTTTCCGATCTTTACGCATTGACTTCACGAAAATCTTCTTCTTCTTGTGTGCATGTTTGACTTGTTTGCGCACGTGCCAAACGGTTTGAATTTGTATGGCTTTTGAGTTAAAAATAATAAAGTATGTTTTAGAACTTGCATGAACAATTCCGCCCACTTAAAATGGAGTTTTATATCAGGTTTGATCAGTTCAAGATAATGACAACAAACAAAGTATCGAAAATATAGGATTTGAATTAAATTGATTATTGAATTGATTTGACTTTACACAAAGTAGAATATAAGAGTTTTGACAAAAAACGAAGTATCGAAAATATATGATTTGAATTAAGTGAATGATTGGATATAAACATGTATCCGAGTAAACGAAGAATAGGATTGAATTGAATAAATGAGCATTTGTAACTCAGTGGTTACAAAAAAAAATCGAAAACACGCACACGACAGAATTAAGGATAATTATGTTATATGATTAAATATTATTTCACTATGGGTAAAGGACAAAGCTTTACCACCGGCCGCGTGAGAAGCCCATGCTGTGTTCTTAGTGTAACAACCCTGACATGATTGTCACGACCAGGATGAACTTACATAACGCGTTCCAACAACCAACGCAGTGGAGGCGTTGACTAGTCTTTGATTATTACTACGGAACCTAACTTAATTTCCGTTGATGGGTCGTTCCACTTACAACGTTGCTGGAGAGTGTTGAGATATTCGAGTTTCCAACGTTTCCACAAAACTGAATGTAATCTCTGAATGAGTTGCCAACGACTAAGAGTGTTTTGTTTAAGGGATGATAAATCAGGATCTGGGCATGAATTTAAAGGTTCTGTGGTTAAGAAATGCCCTGGGGTTAGTGGTGCTAAATCATTGGGGTCTGAACATTGTTCACAAAGGGGGCGAGAATTTAGTAATGCTTCTATTTGAATGAGAAGGGTATATAGTTCTTCGAAGGTTAGTATTTGGTCTCCGAAGACACGATATAAATGGGTTTTAATGGATTTAACTCCCGCTTCGGCTAAACCGTTAAGATGGGGAGCTCCTGGACTATTTAAATTCCATTTGATTTTTAAGCTTTCGGCCGCAGACTTAGCGATTGTGAAGCTCTCTAATAGTCCCGACAAAATTTGTACCCTTATAACTTGCGATCTGTACACAAGTGCCCCGTCTGGCTACAAAACGTCTTAACGCAGCAATACAAACTTCTGTGGTTAAACTTGAAACAAGTTCGATATGAATTGCCTTAACACAAGTATCAACAAAGACGGCTATGTAGGATTTTGAGACTGGCGCACCGCGGCGCCGCTGTCCGCTGTCCTACAAAAGTTTTTATTGGACCTGCATAGTCTAGGCATATATGGGAGAAACATTTTAATTGTGAGGTTCTAAAATATGGTAGATCCGACATGTAGGGGGCGAAAACATCGAATACGTTGTGACAAGACCTTTTGGATAGATCTGCGCGAAGATAAAACCCAAAATTTCTGACGAATTAGGTATTGAATCGTGTTTAGTCCTGGATGTAGATGTTCCCTATTCAATGATAATGTCTGTTAATATATGATTTTTAGGCAGAAATACAGGATGTTTTGCATCGAAGGAAAGCTCAGAGTTCCTTAAACGTCCCTCCACTCTAATTAAACCGGACTCGTCTGAAAAGAGCGATAGCTTCCGTAACGGCTTAGGCAATAACTGATCGGTTTTGATTTTTAAAATTGTATCTGAAAAACAGTCTTTCTGAAATATTTTCACCAGAATTAATAGTGTTCTGTGTAGTTCAGAGGCTGTAAAGGGATCTGAAATGGAACTTATTGTATCGGTTTTGTCACGAATTACCCGGATAAGACGACAAATATTTTTTTACGATTTGCTACAAAGCTGTTCCATTTATGTGGAGAGGATGTGATCCAATGTAATGCAACCTGTGAAACAGAAAATGCAAAAATATCATCTATGACGACTAACGAGGAATAGTTATGAATTACTAAATCTAACGAATCCGCTAAAAGGGTGGCTCCTAGTAGCTCTAGTCGGGTGATTGATTTTGTATGACGGGGAGTTACTCTTGCCGACAACTAAGGCTGACTTTATGACGTTTTTTGGGAGTTCGACACAATTGAATCTGGAGGGATTTTGTCCCAATCTATATTGCATAACCAAAGCTTTTGCATTATTACTTCAGCGAAAAATGAAACTGGTGTTAGAAAACCTAACGGATCCCAGGTTTTTGCAATTTCGCAAAGAATATTTCGTTTGGTGCAAGGTCTGATAGAAGGAGAAGGTATCGGACGAAGGTGCCATGTAGTCCCAAAACTTTAATGGAAGTTGAATCGTCGTTCTGAAACGTCACGGGAATTTGATAATATGTAGAATCAAGGTGCGAAATCAGTTTAGGATTATTTGACGCCCATTTTACTTTCTCGAATTACTAATTCTCTAAGGGTTCTGATCGCTAAATAGGGACTTGAACTTACTCCAAAGGTTACAGTGTTCAACCGATATTCTTGGATTGGTTCGGTGGGATGAAAGCGCCAAAGTAATCTTTGATAGTCTGTGAATGGGATTGACCTTAATTTGCAAAAAATGTTTGTTATCCGTTAAGAATACGACAGGGTAGAATCGGAATTTTAACAATATTTCGTATCGTTTTGTAATTTGGGACCTATCAAAAGAGTGTCATTCAAGCTGATATGCCTTGAGCCCTTATCAGACGGATGAAAAACGACAAGCAATTTCGTAGTGCATTTATCGAGACGAAGTACTCCATGATGTGGTAAATAACAACACAACTCTGGTCTCGAATGAGATTGAGGGACCAAAGACATGTGACCATTATTGATATAATCTCTTATAAAACCTGAGTATAGCTTGGATAAATTAGGGTTTTTTAAAGGTCGAGATTCAAGCGAGAGAAAATAACGATATGATATTGAATAAGTATCTCCTAGATTGGGAGGGTTTGAATGACGACAGGGTAGATTGACTATAAAACGACCTGAAGCATCTCGGGTTGTGGTCTCTTTGTAAATTTCTTCACATCTGTTCTCATAAGGTGACAGAAATGTTTTTGGTTGATTCAAGAGAATGTTCACAAGAAACGAAGTAAGAATTAATTGGAAGTTGAGTACCTAGATTTGTGGCGCCTAGAAGTACCCAACCGAATATAGTTTCAAAGGCCAAAGGTTGTCCTTGTGGTCCTGGGATTCCTCCTGGTTTGACGATTTCGGCGAAGAGTTCTGCACCTAATGAAAGGTCAATAGGAGCAGGAATATGAAATTATCATCTGCAAGGTTCAGATTTGAAATATAACTCCATGACGAAGGATACACTGGAGCTTGAGGCATGAGAGAACTAAGTTTTGATAGAACCAAGACTTGGATTGTGAAAATAGGTTGAGACTGATGTCTGAGTTTGATAGTGCAAGTAGGCATACCTTTAGTAGCTGACGATGATTGATTTATTCCAAAGACAGAGATCGAGTGTTGGTTTCTTGATATGCCCAATCGGTTGAGACAATATTCGCTTATAAAGTTTGCTTGACTTCCGGTGTCTAGGATTGCTCGAACTGTTTGGTAATTACCTCGAGCGTTAAGGACATCTAGTTTGAGGATGGATAAAAGCACAGTTCTTCTGGGTGTCGAAGCAGACAGTGATGTACAAAGGTTGGTCAATGGATTAAGTTGTGATGGGTTAGAATAATCTTGAATCAAGTTTGAAGCGATTTGATTATGACTTGACGAACTTTGGGTTAAACTTGAGTTATTTTGACTACAGTCGTAATTGGGATAACAAAGATTTGAATTTAACTGATTTGGATTGGAATGTGCTAACATTAGGTTCACAGTGACTTGACTTGGATTGGAATCGATAGAATTATGATTTTCACTTGGATTTCGATTGGGATTTTGATTTTGATGATAAGCAACGGTCGATTGTGGCTGATGCAATAAAGTGTGGTGGCGATAACGACAGATTTTGCAATTGAATGCGCTTGCGCAATTTCGTAAAAGATGATTAAAACGCATAAAACGCATGCGTTGAGTTGCTTCACATACGCAAAACGGTCCGAAGGTGATTTTGTAATATAGAAATTGTACGGCGGATTTGATCTGTCTGAGCTATTGAGATATTTATTGCTTCTGTTATTATTAGAATTTGGATTATTCATTTTCGGTTCTTGCCGTCCGGTACTGGGGTGCGTTGGGGAGTTTTGACGAGTTAACTGTATAGTTTCGATAGCTCTGCAATGGTTTGTAAGGAATTCCATGAGATTTTGGCAAGTTGGGATTTCGGTGGTACCATACCTGATCTCAAAAGCTGTTCTAGTAGAGTGATCCAATTTTTATAAAAGCATAGAAAATAAACAAAAGCACCATGAATGTACTGGAAATCCGAAATTTTGGAGTGCAGCGACATTTTCTGAAAATGCATCAATTAAAAAGCTAAGATCTTTAGGTGAATTATTGGATTTTAAAGGATTTGCATTGTAAATCGGGTCCCAGTAGGTACCGGCCAAAAGTCGAACATTTTGATACCTTACCTGTTTGTTAGTGTCTTCCAGGCGATTTCGCAATTTGACGCTGTTAGTTTGATTGAGCTCAAAATGTTCAATGGGTCACCCTCTAAGAAACTAAGCAAATATTGGAATCTTTTAATATCGGAGTAATTTGGATTGTTATGAACCAATGATAAATAAACATCGCAAAAGGTAATCCAAGGTTCCAGGTTTCCATTGAATGTAGGCACTTTCAAAGGGCCTAAATCATCGCTACGTGATAGAACATAATGAATTACTGGAGTGAGACAGGGCTGTTGATTGGGAACGGGAAATAAATTCTAAATATTGCCTTCGTTTTGTGGTAAAACGAATCGGTATCTTTACGAATAACATCGTGTGCCTCAAATTCGGTATCGTCAGTATCATCATCAAGAAGACCGATGACTTCATTATGTATAGCCTTGAACTGTTCATAATGATCATCTAGTGATTCAAAATACAACTTGAATGTTAATTTGAGAGTATCATCAGTTTTCGCTTTTATTCCCAGATTGTACGCCTCTGTAATACGTGCGATTGCTATTTTGCGTTGATTAACCAGCCTTTTCAAAGACATGATTCTGAATATTTAGAATAACACTGATTGTTTATTTTGATTGAAAGTTGATAAAAATGATTTGCTTACTATACAAATATCCTGGACCGTGTTTACTCCAAAACTGTACAGGTTCACAAAAAAACACTAAGAACACAGCTCGGTTTCACGTATTTGAATATACAGGGTGTAAACGTTATGGTAGTCATTATCGAAATGGGTAATAGGGAGGGTCAAAACAAGTCAAAAAGTTCATATGACCCATGGTCCAAAAGTCAATAGATTTTTGTCTAAATGGCTTTATAGTTTACAACTTTAAGTGCTTTATATCGACCACAATCACCACAATCTTACTAATTTGTATAATCTAATCTAAAACGTTTTTAAATTGGGTAATTAACAAATAAACGGCATTAAGTTTTTCTAAGTTGAGCCAAAATTTGTAGTCTGCAAGTAAGTTTCATTAAATTAAATATTTAAAACACACATGACAACAGCGCGTCGGTCTTTCATCACTCTTAGCGAACCGGCAATCGATTGCAACAATGGTTAGTATGTTGTTTTGTTTTTGTTCGCGTACGTCGTCGTGTTTATTTACAATGTTTCCCAATCAAGAGTTCGCCGACATGTTGTTAGTTTACGGTGAAGCTCGTCAGAATTCAAATCTTGCAGCTCAAATTTATCGCGACAGATTTCGCCAACCAGTTAGTGGTAAGTCCGTTTTTTTCAATTGTTTACATTTTACGAGTACATTATCAAATAATGAAATAATACCTAAGAGCCAAAAATAACAAACTCCATCTTTATTTACACTGCGTTCCGTTGTAATTTGAGTCTGGCATTGCGGCGTTGTCAGATTCTATTTTACTTTAAAGTCGCTTTTCTCTAAAAAAATGCCGTTTTGTCCCCCATGTTATATGAAACTTTTTGCTTCTTTTAACCCCCTGTCATGATAGTCATTAGTATCATAATGCTTATACCCTGTATATAATAATAATAATAATAATGACTTTATTCAGAAAATGATCATAGTATGGCGAAGTTTAGCCATGACTACTCTACCACTCAACCATACTACAACCAGACATCACAAAACATTAGCATAACAACATGAATCAGTAGCTGTAAGGAATGCATTAAAAAGGAGTAAATATATAATATGAACATATACAAACAAAAGAACAAGCAAAATGAATTTATCACTCAATGTGCTGAGTCCAGAAAGTGCAACTTGACTGTCTTCTTGAAGGGCTGCAAATTTAAGCTCTTAGAGATAGCTGGTAAAGAATTGTATACCTTGACCGCATTATAAGTAAAGGACCTTTCAAAGACCGACGTACGATGTATAGGAATGGAAAGTAGATCATTGTGCCGCAGATATAGAGTAATTTGGTTTCCACGAGGAATCAACTTACATAGCAAATAGACGGGTTTACCAGTTTTAAAAAGTCTATGCACCAATGAAGCCATAGAGTAGTTGTATAAGCCGTCAACTCTGAGCCACTGTAACTCCTTGATTTTTGAAGAAACGCTACTGTACTTCCTAAGCCCAAATATGAATCTGCAACAGTTGTTCTGAAGCTTCTGCAATTTTGACTTGCAAGCTGAGTCTAGGCATGGGTAAATGAGGACTAGAGAGTAAGCTAAAATTGATAATATGAGGCTTTCACACAACTTTTTGCGGCACTTAAAGTTTAGAATATGGCGATTAGAATATAAAAGCTTCATCTTCATATAACTCGACTTCATAATATTATTCACATGTAAGTCAAATCGAAGATTTGAATCAAATATAACACCTAGATTCTTAGCATTATCACAAAATGGAATATCTATGTCGTTGATAAATAAGGAGACTCGATTTGTGATGTTGTAATTTGCATGTCTAGGACAGTATGGTATCGCGGTGCATTTTGATGGATTGATGCGGAGACAGTGTCTATTGCAATACGTTAATACGTTATCAAGATCTAGGTTGATTTTATAGGATGCTTCATGTAAGTTGGATTCATTGAAACGAAATGTTAGCTGTGTATCGTCAGCATACATTTGAATGCAACAATGTTCTACACACTCATGCAGATCGAATGTGTATACTAAGAATAAAATAGGTCCCAGTACTGAACCCTGTGGAACTCCTGATGACAGATACCGTGCATCAGAAGTTCCTCTAGATGTTTTCACTCTTTGGGTGCGATCAGTTAGGTACGATCTGAAGAAATTCAAAGGAACTTCCGACATGCCATAATATTTTAGCTTACTCAAAAGAATCTCATGATTGACCGTATCGAAAGCCTTGGAAAAATCAAGCATGATCAACAGCGTGCCGGATTTGTTGTCAAGGTTGGAAAGTATCTCATCTGCAAGATGTAGTAGTGCAGTAGTCGTACTGTGACCTTCACGAAAACCAGATTGGTGTACTGGAAAGAAATTATTATTAGCAAAATACTCAACAAGCTGTTCGTATACTACCTTCTCCAAGACTTTCGACAAGAAACATAAACCACTTATAGGTCTAAGATCGGCATGTTCAGACGGATTATTACTTTTGGCTAAAGGTGTGACTATTGCCTCCTTCCAGTTGGATGGGAAAACGCCCCGCTCTAAGCAAATATTAATAATATGCGTGATGTGATCAAGTATTTCAGGCAGGCATAAGCCTAGCATAGTTAGAGTGATGCCGTCACAACCCGCTGCTTCAGACTTGATAGACAAGACTGCATTCATAACTTCACGAGGGGTTACCAGACGAAAGTGAAATGATGACACGTCGGGATCGAAGCGTCTGTTGCTGTAGCTGTTGACAGTGGATTGTACTACTTTGAGGTTTCGATCGGCAGGCATAAAAGTACTTAAAAAGTATTCGTTGACTTCACGGGGATCTAGCAGATTAAACGGTACATCAACACGTTTCTGTTGACAGACATTCATAGATCTAAGTGTTTTCCATGCTGATCGTGTACTAATATCACCATATCTAGAAAGGTAGGCCCTCTTCTCCCTACGAAAGGAAGCAAGTGCGTAATTCCGCATATCTTTGTACGTATACCAGTTCACATCAGATGGGTCATGACGGAAATTCAAGAGAGCTTTGTCGCGTTCCTTAAAGATGCATCTCAGGTTCGATGTTATCCATGGAGCAGCCGGTTTTGTTACACGAGCAGTTCGTAATGGCGCGTGCATATCATATATTTGTATTATGCAACTAGATAGACAGCTTACTTTGTCATCAACATCCATAAAGTAAAAGATACGATCAAGACCAGCATGAAGTAAGTCGCCCTTGAAATTAATAACATCAATATTTTTTATATCTCTATAAGTTACTAACTTGGGTTCAAATTTAGGAAGCTTCAGAGCAACAGCACAGAAAACTAACTTGTGGTCGGACACAAGATCAGCATTAAGAACTCCTGATTTTACAACACTGTTTGAATTGCTAGAAAAAATGGGGTCTATTAGAGTTGAGCTAAACTGAGTTACACGAGTCGGTTCATTTATTAATTGATCAAAATTGAAGCTATCGAAGCAGTTGCTCAAAGGATTGTCATGATTCAAAAGGTCAACATTTATGTCACCAAGAATTATTATATTATCATATTGAGGTACGAAGAAAGAAAGCATATCATCAATGGTATCAATGCTATCTGTAATTGAAGTATGAGGAGGGCGATACACGACGACAATCAGTAGGGTAGAGTTGCCCATGCTGAGTTTGCAGCATAGCAATTCTAGGGAAGAGTCACCTACAAAATCAAGAGTATCAATAACGGTAATGTTGAAATTATTTCTTATATAGAAGCCAACCCCTCCACCCCTACCCAAACGATCTCTACGGAAAAGCTGGTAGCCTTCTATAGATACAGCTTGACTGGAAATGTTTTCATTAAGCCACGTTTCAGTAAAGCATATAATATCGAATTTGTTTTGAACCAATCCACAAAAACAGTCGAAAGCAGTAGTCAAGGACCGCACATTGAGATGACAAATATTTAAAACTTTGTTACTAAGCCTAGCCATAGTCAATTCTAGATTTTAATTCAGCATATCTCTTTAAAAAACATGGACATTGTCTGTCTGATGCAGCATGATCGACTGAATATGGCTTAAAATCTCTAGAATGACTTTTCATATAATTATTGTATACACAGCAATTCACACATTTCTTACTAACAGAGTTACAATCTTTCTCATCATGGTCATTAGAACATAGCGCGCACACACACTTATTTTTGCAATCTTTTTTCAAATGACCGAATCGAGAGCAGCTAAAGCACCTAACTACTGAAATATGGTCACGGACAAAACACTTTTTCCAAGAGGTATACAAAAATCCACGAGTAATTATGGTTTTCCTCACATCAGGATCAACCTCTACTATATAACTCAACGAATATTTTAACTTTAGAACATATATCACCTTTATATCACAATCAGCCAAGTAATCCTTATTTTGGACTATTGATTCGAGGAAAGTGTTTCTATCATCTAGTGATTTATCAACATCAGTAATCAAGAGACGGGGTTTGAAGGGTTTGGGAGCTGTTACTTTATACTTACTGTTAAACTTATTCTGAACTACACCCTTAAGTTTTTCTAAAGATTCTTCGTTAGAGCAACTAATCAACATTCCATTTTTTATAAGCTTAACACCATTGATACTTATTTTCTCGGCAGCAGGGTTAACATTCGCTTTAACAGTATTTAAAACCTCGGAGTTTGATTCTTTTTGATCATTTGACGTAATAATTAAAACAGACTTGGAATGATTGCTTACAGTTTTTGACACAACCTGACTATAAAGTACGGGAAGTTCAGTATTCTGCTGTATTTGTACATCGGGAAGCCTGCTGGATGTAATCTGTTCAATTTTGTTGAGCAAAATTTTGTTAGTAGATTTTAACTCACTCACAAGATCAGTTAGTAGCCGAACATCACTCTTCACTTTAGCAAGCTCCTTGATTACATCTCCATCGCTATACGATATCACGATTGTGGTTGATGTGTCACTATCTTCATCGCAGTTCTTGCACAGCCAGTCGGATTTTTCTAGTTTTATAACTTTGGCAATCGATGAGAAGCATTTCTGATGTAGGGTAACTTCACAATTTAGATTACAACATTTTATATTTGCACTGCCTTTACGGATATCCTCTTCACAAGCCTCGCATCGCATGTCTATGTCTGGTTGCTTATTTTTACCAGACATACTGCTACCTCAACCATTGGAACTGAGCGCACGCCGCTGAGTCGAAAAACAACTAGACAGCGTGGAGTGGTTTTTGCTTGGATATTTTACTCAGAAATTCACTGGTGATGCTATTAAAAGAACATCACACTGCACACGGTAATCAAATCGAATTTAAGAGTACACACCACAAATCGCATAGACTAGGTGCACTACAAAATTCAAGAAAATACTCGCACTTTTTCCACTTAAACAATGCGTTTATCAGTAACTGAGAAGTAAACAGTAATATCACCCTCAGTGGCGTAACAACTGTGGATGTTTAACTTCAATCTTCGCGAATTTTACCAGCTGACAACACAATTTTCCTTTTTATTCGGACGTGTTTTTGCTTACACCCTTTTTTGGATTACTTACATGAAATAATGTTTCTACGACTGAGCTACGAATTGAAAGGAAGCAAAACTGTAAGAGGGAACATACAAGATGGCGACAATAATTAGTTAATTCTTAATCATATTTTCGTGGAAAATTTCGAAAATTACCCGAAAAATCCGGGCTCGAATGGCCAACAAATGTTATTGCAAAGTTGATTCTAAATTGTGGAGAGCCGCGGGACTGTAAGCGCGTTCAGATATAATTAAGGCAATAAGCTAATCGACACCCGAGCCATACAAAGTCAATTTAGGATGGCACGTACCTGGGTGTTCGTGTCGCCTGGTCTGGAGGAGCTCCTCTCTCTTCACAGCTTTTCCTTAGGTTCACCACACTTGCCTTAGCGGATATATTGTACCCGGTTTAACTAGGATTTTTTTGTCGAGGTTTTGAAGATGACCGTTGCCTTTATCGATCTTTACGAATTGACCTCACGAAAATCTTCTTCTTGTGCGCATGTTTGACTTGTTTGCGCACGTGCCAAAGGGTTTGAATTTGTATGGCTTTTGAGTTCAACATAATAAAGTATGTTTTAGAACTTGCATGAACACTGTGCATTTATTTCCTTTAGATACGAAGTGAAATATGTAATATGAAAACGTACCAATACGACGAAAATCACGGATGTATAGGTAATTTAATATACCTCAAATTTCATAGAATCCGTTTTTTTAACATTTTTATGTTTGTTACAAAACATGAAACAATTCGAGAAGGTATCCTTCAGTTTATATGGACTCAGAAACTGAACATATAAAAATTCCAGTGTGTAAAAAATTGTGACGAATCTAAATAATAATAATCTTACATAAATCTAGGTGTCATGGTGATATCTTTTATAATTTGTATTTCATTCACAATTTTTATTTATATACATATATATATATATTTTTTTTGTTTCTCCTTTTTAACAATTTTAGTTTTATTCATTGTGCATTCTTTTTCACGTTTTACCATTTTTCTTAATTTTATATACAATATAATAAAGGCATTCATTATTGACTATTTTTTTGCAGATGTGTAATACGGACATGTTAGCGCCAGCATCTGACTGCCATCATTGAGTATATTTTACGTTATATTATACAGGTTTAGTTATACTATTTTCTTAGAAAAAAATGTATAAATTTAATGTTCATTATAACTTCAAATTTCAGTAAACTCGTTGGCATTTAATTGTATACATATTTTTTGAATAAAATATTTCTTGAACCTTTTAACATTTTTCTTCACCATTCTTGAATTTCCTTTTCTCAAATACACACTAGGTATTTAAAACATTGGTAGACTTTTGAACATTTTCCACCTTCCCGAAGATTTAATTTCGTATGACGTAATTCTGGTAATAAAATAGTGTCAAAGTCAAATGTTAATAGTTTTATCGAATATAGTAATGATATAGCAACGTTTTTTTTATAAATAATGAACAAACATCAATATCACCAGTGCAACAGTCTCAGGTTTTTTATCTGTAAATGATTATTCTTCATCAGTGGTTTCATCAACCGTTGTCCATGAATCTGCAAAAAAAGGATTGCTTAGAAAAAGAAAAAACTATTTAACATATTATTATAAATAGTGTCACTTCACAAGCCGAGCAGAAGTAGATACTTTACAAGTGGAAAACGGGTGCGATATTTTGTTTTACGAAAATCAACCTCTACTATGCAAAAAAACAGAAAATACCAAATTGTCCAGAGTTACCGATTTTATCCCCATCTAGGCAAATTTCTCAAATTCTTAAATAAGCATACAAGAGTACTACTTTGACCCCCATCAGCTTGGCTTGGTTTCTGTGTCAATGAATGAAAGCATAGCTTATTTTGTATGTTCAATTGTTTTTCTAGACACTGGTAAAAATTTCTTGGGATTAATAAAGTTATTAGGTGTCCCAAAACTATGACATACCCAAGTACCTTGGAAATTAAGGGTGCACATCCAGTGGTGACCTTGGATTTAAACGTTGACATTCACCTGGAGGGTCATTTTAAGGGCAAGTTGATTTTTTCAAAAGGGAATAGGAATAGATCATGGGGAGTTTAAATACACCTAGAGGTTATTTCAAGGGCAATTGTTGCTCTTTCATGGAATGCTGTGAAGCAGTGGATAGCTCGAAAAACAAGAATATTAAAGGAGAACTTTTGATATGAAGATTGCAAAGCACCCAACGGCACTTCGCTACACATAAGTTCTGCAATTCACCTACTTATGATCCACTTATGTAATTAGATTATATTTTTTTTTAGGTTAGCTTTTTCATTAAGAATGATTGTATTCTTCAGACAAGAAAGCATTATTATGTTTTAATTTTTATCTATCTAATTAGACTTTGAAAAGGTTAGGCCCTCAAGGATCGATTATAAATTTTATAATCGATCTTTGAGGGCCGAGTGCCGAATGAAGGTTGTATAACGATTGGAAATTGAAAATCCGCCGAAAATGAAATTATTTTCGTATGTTTTATCGCTGACAAATCATTGAATAATTCTAGTTCAGACTATTCAAAACAGTTCTTTTTCACGTTTTACCATTTTTCTTAATTTTATATACAATATAATAAAGGCATTCATTATTGACTATTTTTTTGCAGATGTGTAATACGGACATGTTAGCGCCAGCATCTGACTGCCATCATTGAGTATATTTTACGTTATATTATACAGGTTTAGTTATACTATTTTCTTAGAAAAAAATGTATAAATTTAATGTTCATTATAACTTCAAATTTCAGTAAACTCGTTGGCATTTAATTGTATACATATTTTTTGAATAAAATATTTCTTGAACCTTTTAACATTTTTCTTCACCATTCTTGAATTTCCTTTTCTCAAATACACACTAGGTATTTAAAACATTGGTAGACTTTTGAACATTTTCCACCTTCCCGAAGATTTAATTTCGTATGACGTAATTCTGGTAATAAAATAGTGTCAAAGTCAAATGTTAATAGTTTTATCGAATATAGTAATGATATAGCAACGTTTTTTTTATAAATAATGAACAAACATCAATATCACCAGTGCAACAGTCTCAGGTTTTTTATCTGTAAATGATTATTCTTCATCAGTGGTTTCATCAACCGTTGTCCATGAATCTGCAAAAAAAGGATTGCTTAGAAAAAGAAAAAACTATTTAACATATTATTATAAATAGTGTCACTTCACAAGCCGAGCAGAAGTAGATACTTTACAAGTGGAAAACGGGTGCGATATTTTGTTTTACGAAAATCAACCTCTACTATGCAAAAAAACAGAAAATACCAAATTGTCCAGAGTTACCGATTTTATCCCCATCTAGGCAAATTTCTCAAATTCTTAAATAAGCATACAAGAGTACTACTTTGACCCCCATCAGCTTGGCTTGGTTTCTGTGTCAATGAATGAAAGCATAGCTTATTTTGTATGTTCAATTGTTTTTCTAGACACTGGTAAAAATTTCTTGGGATTAATAAAGTTATTAGGTGTCCCAAAACTATGACATACCCAAGTACCTTGGAAATTAAGGGTGCACATCCAGTGGTGACCTTGGATTTAAACGTTGACATTCACCTGGAGGGTCATTTTAAGGGCAAGTTGATTTTTTCAAAAGGGAATAGGAATAGATCATGGGGAGTTTAAATACACCTAGAGGTTATTTCAAGGGCAATTGTTGCTCTTTCATGGAATGCTGTGAAGCAGTGGATAGCTCGAAAAACAAGAATATTAAAGGAGAACTTTTGATATGAAGATTGCAAAGCACCCAACGGCACTTCGCTACACATAAGTTCTGCAATTCACCTACTTATGATCCACTTATGTAATTAGATTATATTTTTTTTTAGGTTAGCTTTTTCATTAAGAATGATTGTATTCTTCAGACAAGAAAGCATTATTATGTTTTAATTTTTATCTATCTAATTAGACTTTGAAAAGGTTAGGCCCTCAAGGATCGATTATAAATTTTATAATCGATCTTTGAGGGCCGAGTGCCGAATGAAGGTTGTATAACGATTGGAAATTGAAAATCCGCCGAAAATGAAATTATTTTCGTATGTTTTATCGCTGACAAATCATTGAATAATTCTAGTTCAGACTATTCAAAACAGTTTCTACAAACTAAATTTCCTAAAATATGCCATAGTTACTAATCTCTTGGAAATAGTTTTTATTTTTGGTCTGAATAATTCTTCTAGAAAATCATTGTTTATTAGTTCAAAGAGACACCAACCAAACCCATTTTTGAAGAATAAAAATGAATTAGTCCATCTCAAAACTCAAAAAATTTAAAGTTAACAAGGTTTAAGGACTTGTGCAACAAACATCTTCAAATTAAACTAGGTTTCTGTGTAACGTTCATTTGTGCAACAGGCAATAAGTTATTTTGGTTTTATGGTTTGTTTTTTTTCAAAATGTTGGAAATAAAGGGTCATCATTTTTGTGTGCTTTAAGAGACAAATGTAGTACTGTTTTAGTTTTCCTTAACTAAGTCTTAATAATATTCAATAAAGATTGATATCATTACATACTATGTAGAGCACTGATTCCCGAAGTGGTCTCTATATCGACCCCTACGTCAGCGAAAAAAAAATTGGGGTCCATGAAATGAATACGTTTATTCGTTTCCTGAATCTTGAAAAGGAAAGTGCTAAGAAAATATTTTAAAAAATATAAACAGATAGTATATCACACAAATTATAGTGAGTCAGTGTTATTTTGTTTGAGAGTGCTGGAGAAAAGTAAGTACATTATTTTTTATTAAATTTTAGTGTTGTACTCGTAGTTAGCAAAGATAGATAAATTACGCCAATCATGACTTTAGATATTAGTAGTTAAATATTCAATCATGCAAAATTACACGAGTACTTCTCAATAGTTTCTTTTTGAAAGTTTTAGCAATTGGTAATATAATTACAGTGCAATCTCCGTAATTCGAGCTAATTGTTGCAAGAAGATGTTCGAATTATGGAATGTTTTCGGAAAAATCAAAAATTATTTTTAATATACAGCAGCACAGATGACTGATGCCATGTCCGAATCTAAAAGGAAATGTAAACAGTACAGTGTTGATTATTTGAAATTTGGCTTCATTCCATCATTGCCTATGTGTCTTTTATTCAACAAAGTTTTGGGCAATGACGCTATGAAACCATCTAAACTGCAAGATCATCTGAGAAGATGCCACCCTGATAAAACAGAGAAAGATTTGAAATACTTTCAAACACTCAAAGATCCATTTCAGAAGAGACCTACACTGGACAGAATGTTCGCTTCGACGTCACAAAGAAATGATGATGGTTTGCGGGCGTCTTACAATATCTCGTTACTTATAGCAAAATCCGGAAAACCGCATACTATCGGAGAGAAGTTAATTTTGCCAGCCGTCGAAGAGGTTTTAAAAACTGTTTTACACAAACCTGCATCTGATATCATTAAAAGAATTCCCTTAAGCAACAATACTGTTGAAAGACGTATTGATGAAATGAGTTTTTCATCAATTACTCCTTCACACTGAAGTACGCTGGCTGTCGAAAGGCTTATGTTTGACAAGATTTTTTTCACTTTTTGAGACTATTTTAGAATTTCTGGATACTAAAGATAACATTTTAAAAGAAAATTTAATGAAGAGGAAAACAGACATCGCCTATTTAACAGATTTGTTTACAAAATTTAATATGGTTAATTTGCAATTACAAGGCGACAGTTTAAATTTGATTAAAAAGAAAGTCCATCTTATCAGCGTTTCTTGCCAGAGTTAAACTAATGAAGCAAAATATTGGACGGGGCGAATTTTCTCAGTTCCCCAATTTGTCACAGACAAATCAAACTAACAGTGAAATTATTGTGGAACATACGTTTATGTTATAATGAGGGCACTTATTCCCAATGCGGGCATTTATTGGTCAGACACCTGTTTATTTATTGTTACGTATATGTTACATAACAGATACAAAATTTTATTTTGAGTAGTTTTAATTTAAATTCAATTAGTAAGTGTATAAATTAACATGTGGGGTCATTTAAAAATCAAAATCTATGCTACTCAGCCAACATCATTAGAAGACCTGCGACAAAGAATTGTGAATGAGTGCCTTCAAATTACTCCTCAAATATTGCAAAATGTGCGGCAACGTTTTGAGCAAAATCTTTATTATTGCATGGAGAGTCATGGTGGCCATTTTCAACATTTACTTGCCTAACGGGTCAGCTCATTCTTCATTTTTAAATTACTTTGCTGCCAAATGTATTGATCTCCACTAATGATGATGTATTAGTTTTATTTAAGCTTTAAATCAATAAATCTTCAAAACTACAGAACTAAAGTACATTAATTTTATATCATTATAAAGGGAATTGAAAGACTTTTAAAATAAGGTATCACTCGACCCCCCTTTCCATTTAAGATTTTGGGGGTGGTGTCACCCCCGCCCAGGGGGCTGCACGTGTTAACGTGATTTTTTGCCAAACTTGTGTCCCCCTCGAAAACAAAATCGACGGGTCTGAGCGTTTTTCAAAAAAAAAACTGAGCTGCCAGTAAATGCGTCTGTTTCGTTTTCGATGCGCCACCGTTTTATATATAGTATTCATAGTTAATTGCCTTTTAACTGTAGGGTGAAAATATCCTTGAATTTCTTTGGGTAGCAGACAAAGTATTGCAAAGGTACACTCTTATAACTTAAGCTCAAGCTTTCGAAGATCTATGTCTTCATCGTCTGGAGCTGGAAACAATTATTGACAACAGCAACACATAACAATTAGGAGAAAAAATAGTTACTTACTAAGTCGGCCAGATTGTTGCTGAAATTGTTTTTAAACAATATAGTATATATATAGAGAGAGAAAATTATCATGCGGAGAAAGGTATATAACAAAAATAGGATTTTGCACATTTTGCCCATTATTTTCATATATATATATATATATATATATATATACTTGAGACGTGGTCATTGTCGTCTAGACCAGTTAGGTGAAAAATTAAAGCTTCCGCTTTTTGTTGGGTACTTCGACAAGATTTAAGCAAAGAGGACTCTTTATACTTTTTTTAATTCTCTCTAGCTTTCAATGGACTTTGCCATCATCATCAGGAGCTGCAATTACAATGATAACAGTAGCAACAAAGGTGTAAAATGAATTTAAATTGACTCAACTTACAGTAGTATGTGAGAATGTTGCTAATTGTTGTTTACGCATAGGATGAGGGAAACGTCCAGTAACATGGTGAGAGCTGAATAGGTTGCACAATAGTCAAAATTTATACAAAACATGACAAGAACACGTTAAAAACAGATTAAAAATTATTTTAAAAAATTAGAACATTACATCGTGAAACCACCTGATGATTGCACAAATTAGTGGTCATGGAATGATGAATTGATGAGTGACATGAAACCCTTTGACAGAAGGCCGAAGGATGTCAATGTCAGTATTGAAAGATGGAACGAATTGTGGGCGTGTGCCAAAAACGTTGCCAAATCACTTCAGATGAAGAGATTTTCAGAATTTTATGATGGAATTTGTTGAACCGACCAGAGGCAGTTGAATAAACTATATTATTATTAATGGGAATTTAAATTAACAATTATTAATAAATCGTGAGGAGAGAATTATTATATTTTGAGTGGAATGAAATTTACTGGTGGAAACGGCCAAAACACAGATTCTAATTATGGTTGTGAAGAGTTGAAATTTGGGGAGATATGTAAGTTCTCCAATTTTTCGCAGTTTAGCAAATATGAGTAAATGACACTCAGTTGTTTAACATCTGTCTTTTTGTTGATACAGTTGTTATTCATGAAAATGTGGGACATTTCCAGGAATAAACGTTTGGAAAGGTGTTTTTCTTTATCAAGAACTTTGATACTTGTGTAATTCATAGAATGCCCTGTTGTGTTAACATGAGATGCTAGAGCGCATCTTTCAGGATGAAGCCTAGCATCACTTTTGTGTGATGTAATCCTTCCTTTAAGAGATCTGGAGGTCTGACCTATGTATATTTGGTTGCAGTTGTTGCAATTGATGGAGTAGACTGTGTTGGTTAAGCCAAGCAGCGGGACTTTGTCTTTCATTTTTGAAAAAATGCAGTTTATAGTGAGGACGGATCTGCAAGCAATTCGAA